TATAAAAACGTAAAAAATTGCATTTAAGGTAATGAATTCTATAATGAGTCGACCAAGTATTTTGGCAATTTGACTTTTTGTAAATCTTGTATTGTGGATCATTTTGGCTATTTAAAGTATCTCTCTATTATAGTTATCTAAATAATAGACAATAACGAAAGAAGAAAAAAAAAGGCAAAAATCATCAATTAAGGACAATAACTGCTATAAGGTCAACTGACAATTTCAGCAATGTTTAACCTATTTGTAGATCTTGTTTTGTTGATCATTTTTGCTATTAAAAGTTTGTAACTATCTATTATAATCTTTTATGATAATGGGTAAAATTGCAAATAATTGGTAAACATTTTCATTAAGAGCAATAACTCCAACAAGGAGTAGACTGAACATTTCTGCCATGTTGACTTTCAGCAGATCTTCATTCTTGTCTTGCTGACCATTTTTGCTATTTTCAAAAAGTTTCTCTATATCTATTTTAGTTTTCAAGATAACAGACAAAAATAAAGAAAAAAATGGTAAAATTTGTCATTTTAGGGCAATTACTCCTATAAGTCCTCTGACATTTTTAATGAAAATGGACAGTAGGTAGATGTTCTCTATCTCTAGTCATGGTAGTGGTTTTCAAGATAATAGACAAAACTTGCATTTTACCATGTATGTTCTACTTTTTGCCATATCTGCATGGCAGTGCCATAGTGGTTGGCAAATTGGCAGGTTGGATCATTGAACACTACAACATGTACATGTATATATTGAAAAAAATAATTAAATTGATTAATTAAATGCTTCCAAGTATAGAAACTGATACTAAGATCCCTACAGATCAATTCATACCCTTGGCCCACAGTTGTACCTTTTATTTTGTTTCACTTAACTATTCCTGTAAAGGTAGTTATGTAACTTCTAGGAGTTTTGTGAAATAAATTCCAGTTTGTTTCATACGACATGTACACATGTACCGGTAATCAAATATTAAAATAACATCAATATTCAATATTTTAACTTCACTTTCAGCACAACTTTTTTTTTAGATTTCTCCATTTTAAATGCTCTTTAACTTGGTATTTGATTGGCCTTCCAATTGTTATGGTGAGTTTTATGAGGATGAATAGTCAACTGGCATACCAAATTACAAGTCTTGTATCTTTGAATTTTTTTTTAAAACAAATGCATTTTGATTTATTTATGAGGAATTTCAATGTCAATTGACATTAACTATTGTTAATGCATGCCTCTATTTCATCTTCTGATAGGTGTACAATCAGCTTCTATATTGTAAGAAATACAATTCATGTAAATATGTATACATCATTATCAATGATTATATAGGATTTAGAACAACTAATATAAACTTGCTGGTGACTGTTCAATGACCGTCATTGTAAAAGATACAATTTAGTGATGAAAATGAGTAAACAATTCTGAAATGAATTTATGCACATATGGGACTTCAATGAAAATACAGACATACAACATCTAGTACAGACCTGGATCACACTTTGGTTTGACCCAAGCATTAGGAGTTCCTAACACATTTGGCCATAGTCTACATTCTGGATAGGGTTCACTTGTACATTTGACATCATCTCTTGGTACAAACTGAAAAGACGAGAAAATTCAAAAGGTATATAAATATAAACAAGAATGTGTCCATAGTACATGGATGCCCCACTCGCACTATCATTTTCTATGTTCAGTGGACCGTGAAATTGGGGTCAAAACTCTAATTTGGCATTAAAATTAGAAAGATCATATCATAAGGAACATGTGTACTAAGTTTCAAGTTGATTGGACTTCAACTTCATCAAAAACTACCTAGACCAAAAACTTTAACCTGCCCACTCGCACTATCATTTTCTATGTTCAGTGGACCGTGAAATTGGGGTCAAAACTCTAATTTGGCATTAAAATTAGAAAGATCATATCATAAGGAACATGTGTACTAAGTTTCAAGTTGATTGGACTTCAACTTCATCAAAAAACTACCTAGACCAAAAACTTTAACCTGAAGCGGGACAGATGCACAGACCGAAAAACATAATGCCCCTAGGTGAGGCATAAAAATACCCAATTCAACAACAAGAAAATGTATCCATAGCTGCAGAACTGGGGTAATTAAAAAAGGTAATTGTAATAATACCTGTAATTACATGTAATTACAATTTTAAAAGTACAAAACTGTAATTGAAAGTAATGAGTTACATGTACATTGCTTATCTGTCAGGAAATTATGGATAACTTTTGAATTACTTTGAAATACATTGCAGTATTTGCTTGAAAGTTTCAAAACATTTCTAGTTTTTTTGCATATTCACTCACACATGAAAACTCCTTGTTTTTCTTATTATATATACATGTAGTATGCACTTGATATGTTTGAATTTCTATTTTTAAACTTAAGGTTGTAAAAATTATTATGTTTAAGAAAATTAAAACATAGCACTGCTACATATTACAATATAAATTTGATTGGTACAAACTGTTAGGCAAACTAATGATTACATCCAAATTTTAAATCCTGATTTTTTATTCTGATGTTTACACAGTATTTCATCGTTGTTCATGAGAAAACTTATGAAAGTGAAAAAAAAGGAAACTGTTGAATGAGCATGAAACACAATAAATCTGATAAGAGGCAAACTCAGTAACAGATGTCCTTGGAAAATATTTAATTGATTTATTGTTGCAAAAATATATAATTCTTTTCTAAAAATGTCCTGTACCAAGTCAAGAATATGGCAGTTGTTATCAAATAGTCTGTTTCTATGTATGTTGGCGTTTGTTTTTGTAGCAGTTCAGTGTTGATGTTGTTCCGTTTTGTTTCCTCTTATAGTTGATGTGTTTCCCTCAGTTTTATACAATTTTATACCATCAGATTTGCTCTAAATGCTTTGGTTTCAGAGATATGAGCCAAAAACTGCATTTTACCCTATGTATTATTTTTTTGCCATGTCGGCCATCTTGGTTTGCGGGCAGGGTCATCGGACACATTTTTTAAACTAGATACCCTAATAATGATTGTGGACAATTTTGGTTAAATTTGTCTTGGTAGTTTCAGAGGAGAAGATTTTTGTAAAAGATTACAAAAATTTACGAAAAATGGTTAAAAATTGACTATAAAGGGCAATAACTCCTTAAGGGGTCAACTGACCATTTTGGTCAAGTTGACTTATTTGTAGATCATACTTTGCTGAACATTATTGCTGTTTACAGTTTATCTCTATCTATAATAATATTCAAGATAATAACCAAAAACGGCAAAATTTCCTTAAAATTACCAATTCAGGGGCAGCAACCCAACAACGGGTTGTCCAATTCATCTGAAAATTTCAGGGCAGATAGATCTTGACCTGATAAACAATTTTACCCCATGTCAGATTTGCTCTAAATACTTTGGTTTCAGAGATATAAGCCAAAATCTACATTTTACCCCTATGTTCTATTTTTAGCCATGGCGGCCATCTTGGTTGGTTGGCAGGGTCATCGGACACATTTTTTAAACTAGATACCCCAATGATGATTGTGGCCAAGTTTGGTCAAATTTGGCCCAGTAGTTTCAGAGGAGAAGATTTTTGTAAAAGTTTACGGACGACGGACGCAAAGTGATGAGAAAAGCTCACTTGACCTTTCAGGTCAGGTGAGCTAAAAATGTACCATGTCGGGATCACACTATGACATTTCAGTGAACTGTGAAATCTTGATCAAAAAACAAAAGTGCATATCATTAAAAACATGTACATGTACAACATGTAAGTTTCAAGTTAATCATAAACTCCCTTCAACATGAAGGATGAAAAAACAGACAGACTTACATTGATATTTTTTTAAACAGTTTCTGCTTTAAATGAAAAATATGGACTGATAATGGACATGATGGAAACAAACATATATAACTTTAATAATATCATTCATTCATTATATTTCAAATGACAAGTATAATTATTTTATTTGGGTTTTTCAAACAGACATTTCCATTTCTTATACAATTTTTAGGAAACCTTATATTATATACATATATACATGTAACCTACTACCATTTAATAATAAAGAGGTATTCTTATTAGAAATGAGGGCAAATTTCTGTTTACCTCTGGTAGTGGATTTGATGTCCGTAACTGACAGCTTAACTTGCTCTCTGACTGATACTTGGAATAGTTCTGAAAATACTTTTTGGGAAGAGGCCATGTTGGAATTGAGTAATCTGTCTTTGCCTTTTCATAGTTTCTCCATGGTTTCATTGGTGGGACTCCATATCTATCCCAATAGGCTGAAATTTCTACTTCTGGATCAAATTGTAAATTAAACAAATGTTCATATTTAGTTGAAAGTACTGTGATCAAATCGAAAACCAAAGATTGAATTAATTTAGTATTCAAAGCCTCTGGCTTTTTAGGATCAAACATTTTGCCAAGATGTTGAACCAAAAACTCCTGTTCCTCAAGTAGTTTATCCTGGAGAATATTTCTAATGTCTTTAAATTCATTTTCAATATCTATATCTATGTTTTTGACAACATCTGGGGCATCATTGATAAGAACAGTTTTTGTTTTATCCTGCTGATAATCTGACAGGCCAGTATTTGCTTGAATTGAATTATACTTCCACAATTTAGAACCATATTTTGATTCTTTGGTTGCCAAAAAACTCAGTCGCTCCTCTACAGATGCCATACTTTTCCATGTTTCTCCTTCTTCATGCCAGGTCCATGCAATATCTCTGTCCATTCCACCCCATTCCCCAGGTGGGTATTTTGGTTTAATGGGAGGATAGTGTAGATCATTGTCTTGTTCTTCTGTTTTCAGTAATGCAGATGATTGATTTGACCTTGAAATAAAGCGTCTATATCTGATTTTGTCAAATAAATTGAAAAGTCGTGATCTTGTTGTGGAGATCGCCATCTTTATTCTGATCTGGGTATGTCTTGCGATTATTTGGTAGAAAAAAAAAACAAAGCACAAAGCAGACGATTTTATTCAAGCATGTACATGACTATGATAAGCCACATGACAAAAAGATGGAGAACGTGCCGGTCGGAAAAGTATCTGTGGAGACAAATTCAAGGTTTTACTATTTACAAAGCTTATATTCGCTGTCATCATTTCTGAGTTTGTTCAATAGATGGTCCTTATTTTTTGTTTACATTTTACCACTTAAATAAGAATAGGATTTTTTAATTTCTATTTTTAAGTACCCACAAACTTGACGAAGAGACAAACACATCTAATGCATTTTCATCATTTATTGAATTGTTGATTGGATTGTCCCCTTATTAGACATTAGCATCAATGACAATCAAGAACATATGATCAATAAATGGTCCAGCGAAGTCAATATGTATACGTTTCCACGGACTTGACAGCCACTCCCATGGGTGAAGTGGTGACTGTTTCGGGTTACGATGGTGTTTTTGACATCCGGAACAACTTTTTGCTAGAGATTCTATCTCAGAATCAATACGTGGCCACCATACGTAGCTCCTTGCCAATAATTTCATTTTCACTACTCCTGGGTGCGCAGAATGTAACAGTTCTAAAGTTTGCTGTCTAAATTTTGTCGGAACAATAGTACGTATTCCCCACTGTAAACAACCTTGACTGGTAGAAAGTTCGTTTTTCCGGTTGAAATACGGTTTCAAGTCAATATCATCATTGACGGTCCAACCTTTTTGTACAAATTCATAGACTCTTGATAAGATCTTGTCACGCGCAGTTTCTCGTCTAATGTTGTTGTTTGTTAAGCTTAACTGTTCTAGTTGCTTTAACATGAAAACGTCAACTGCATCAAATTCCTCACCATCTGATTCTGTAGATTCCTGTGGTATTCTCGATAGCGCATCTGCGTTTGTGTGCTTGTTAGTGTTTTTGTACTCGATGTCATATGTATATCCACTTAAAAACAACGCATATCTCTGTAAACGTGCTGCTGAAGTGGTAGAAATTCCCTTTTTCGGATTAAATATTGACACAAGCGGCATATGGTCTGTTATCAGTGTAAATTTACGACCATACAGATAAGTATGAAACTTTTTAACGCCGAAAATTATACCTAGAGCTTCTTTGTCGATTTGACTGTAGTTTCTTTCTGCTTTATTAAGTGATCTTGACGCAAAAGCAATAGGGCGCTCCGTTCCATCTTGCATTTTATGTGACAAAACTACCCCTAATCCAAATGGAGAAGCGTCACAAGCTAATCGAATAGGTAGTTCTGGGTCATAATGACATAGAACCTGCTCAGATGTTACCAAATCTTTGGCCCTCTTGAATGATACCTTACATTCTTTATTCCAATCCCATTTGACATCTTTTTCTAACAGTCTGTGTAATGGGCGCACAACAGATGAGATATTTGGTAGGAATTTATGGTAGTAATTCATTAATCCGAGGATTGAACGTACCTGAGTAACATTTTGTGGTTCTGGTGTGTCCAAAATCGCTTTGATTTTATCCTCTGTTTTGTGTAATCCATGCTTATCTATTTTATGTCCACAAAACTTGATTTCATCTTTGAAAAACTTGCACTTGTCCTTATTAACTGAAAGGTTGTACATCTCTAATCGCTTCATAACTTTGTCGAGGTTCACTAAATGTTCTCGGTCATTTTTACCGGTTATAACCATATCATCTAATATGCATTGTACTCCTGTCAACCCTTGGAGTATTTGGTCAATGGTTCTCTGCCAGATTGCAGGTGCAGACGCTACACCAAATAACATTCGGTTGTACTGATAAAGTCCTCTATGCGTATTGATATTCAAGTACTTCTTGGATTCCTCATTCATCTCGAGCTGTAAATATGCCTGTCTTAAATCTATTTTCGAAAATTTTTCACCTCCAGATAACGAAGCAAAAATATCGTCAATTCTAGGTAAAGGATATTGATCAACTTGAAGCTGCTGATTAATTGTGACCTTAAAATCGCCACAAATTCTCACGCCCCATGACTTCTTCACGACAGGCACAATAGGCGTTGCCCATTCACTAGTTGGCACTTTTGTAATAATACCTTCCTCTTCAAGACGGTCGAGCTCCTGTTCAACTTTCGGTCTTAGTGCATACGGTATCGGTCGCGCCTTCATGAACACAGGTTTAACATTATCTTTCATAATTAAATTTCCTTTAATTCCATTCACACAACCGATGTTGTCACTAAATACAGATGCATGTTGAGCAAGCAATTCTTTTGTTTTCTCATCAACATTTTCAACACTTACTTTGTTGATTTTACTCCAGTCTAGTCTGATTTTTCGTAACCAGTCCCTTCCAAATAAGATTCCTCCTCCTTTTTGTACGACATACAGCGACAATATTTCACTTTGGTCGTTGTAGTTTACATTTACAGCGGTTACTCCTAGTGGTGTAAATTTCTCACCCGAAAATGTTCTCAAAATAACGTCTGTTGAATCAAGCTTACGATTCGGAAACATTTGATCAAATTCCTTCTTTGGAATAATCGAGAGAGCGGATCCTGTGTCCACTTCCATTTCAACAGATTTGTTGTCGATTTTCACGTCGACAGTTATCTCCTTTGTTTTGGAATTCACTGTATAAATCCCTACATCATTGTTTCCTTTCTGTGTATCTTTGAACACTGTGTAAATTCCAAATTCATCATCCTGAGAATCATCAGCATTAAGTGAGTGCACATTCCGTTTTATCATTTTACTACGACATGCTGCTTGAATATGTCCTTTCTTCTTACATTTATGACACGTTTGATCTTTAAAACGACATGTATCGGCTTTATGTCCTTGCTTGTTGCAACGGTAACACGTTATAAGTTTCTGTTGATGGAAGCTAACCTTCGGTTTTTGACTTTTAACCTTATGTACAGCTGATTCTGGTTGTTTTCCTTGTAGCTCCAATGCGTCTTTTGTAGCTGTTTCCATCGCTACAGAAATCTGCATAGCTTTTTCTAATGTTAATGCTTGGACTGACAATAGTTTCTTCTGAGTTTGTTCTGATTTCAACCCACAAACCAATCGGTCTCTCAATGTATCGTTTAAATCAGGGAAATTACAATATTCCGAAAATTTGCGAATTTGTGCTACATACTCATTAATAGACTCTCCACTTTTTTGGTCCCTCTTGTGAAAACGGAAACGTTCTGCTATCACCAGTGGTGCGGGTGATAAATGTTCCTTCAAAACTTTCACAATATCCTCGTATGATTTATCTTTCGGTTTGTCTGGTGTTGTTAAATTTCTTAACAAAGCATAAGTTTTTCCACCGATTAAACTAAGTAAAGCAGGTACACGCTTATCGTTGTTAATTTCATTCACAGCGAAATATTGTTCTAGTCTTTCTGTATAAGAAGTCCACTGTTCAATCCCATCCTCGTCGCCAATTTGTTATGTATTACTAACTATAACATTATTGAGAGTAGAAGGCATCTGTTCAGATTAGCATTTTATTCTACACTAAAATAATCAAGCAAGTTAACATATTATATATCGCGACAATTGATACAACTGTGGTAGGTAACAGTCTAGGCGGTGCCATATGGTTTTCATCACTTTGAGATTACAGTTCATTTGATAACAATTCATAGTAACTTTAATAGTTTATTTTGACAGTTTCAGTTATACATAACAGTGTGCATATAGCTAGTTATGTTATTGATCTGTTGATAAGAGGGTCCAATGATTAAATATGTATATTAAAACTAATAAACAGTGATAAAGGTGGTTGTTCTTAGAAATGATAACTGTTTATTATTATTGACAAGATTTCAACAGGGGTATTGCCAGCTTCTTTGTCAAATTATCAATTTTTAACAAGGGACAACAATTTAGATTAAAATACATTGATAGGAGAATACAAAGAGGTTAATTTAGAGAGGCGAAAGATACCAAAGGGCATTCAAATTGTAAAATAAAATATTTTATTTAATTAGGTTAAACATTTTTTGTAAAGATTTTTCTCAATGATAATTGAAATCAAATTCAAAATTTTGAACCAATTTGAAAAAAAAATTAACCAAGAAAAAAGAATTAATAAAAAAATATTTTGACTGAATTAAAGATATATTCCTTTTTTCTTGCTTATTACCTGGGACCTATCAGGTCTTAGCTATTACAGTGAGTCATTTATATTAATTTTATATGTAATATTGAAGATATTTTTTTCATAAAATGAGATTATTAGATATTTTACTTGCTTTAATTTTTGTTTTGTAATCAAGAATTGTGGAGTCAAATTTTATTTCACAATTACCTTTGTGTATTTTCCTAACAACATGTTTAAATCTATAAAGATTATAACACGATGATCATGTTGACTGCTGTACCCCTATTTTTGACATTTTTACCTGTTATGTCGGTTTATTTTGTTTACACATCGTTGTCAATATAATGGAATTTTATGCGACTGTCATACAAGTGAGAGGTTTAGCTAGCTATAAAACCATGTTTAATCCACCATTTTCTACATAAGAAAATGCCTGTACCAATTCAGGAATATGACAGTTGTTATCCATTCCTTTGATGAGTTTGAGCTTTTGAATTTGCCATTTACTTAGGGACATTCCGTTTAGAATTTTCCTCCGAGTTCGGTATTTTTGTAATTTTACTTTTTGCTGTCTTATAAAGAGAAAAGGTTCAGTTTGGCAAAAGGACAACCACCACAGAGAAGCATACATTATATAAAAAATTGACAAAAGTAAACTTCAAGGAAGCAGGTAATAAATTTACCCCTGTTGACATCTTAGTCCAATTCCAACTAAAATATAAATCATTTTTTCAGTGACCATGGTGACTAAAATTTCAATCAGTACACATCATGCACATCCAACTGATTTAGTGTAAAGAAGTCATCAACAGTCTGAGAAAAACATGGCCTTTTGCAAAGCCAGTTCAAAATAGAAATACGAACATTTAACATACAAATTAGAATGTGACATCCTGTTTGGAATAAGGTTTCATCATGAGAAAGGGCAAATGGAACAGCAGCATTCATAAAAGACAAAAAAGATATAGAGAAAAATGGTTTCTTTTGTCGTAAATTTTTTTATTGAAGTTTCTTGTGTAAATTTTTTGTGAAATTATGATTGTGTCTTCTATGCAAAAGCTAGCACTTCATTGGTTTTTAAGTTCAAGAAAGGGAACAATGAAAACTCTTTGAAGTTATAGGAAGTTGAACCGCATCATCATGATCATGTTCAAAAGGAAAAAAGAATGAAAAGTAAACAGTCAACAAAGCACAACACAGAAAGCCAAAAGAGAACAATGCATTATTGTGGCTACCACTGTTGCCTAATATAGAAAGTTTGGCAAAATCCAGAAGAGAACTGCTATCAAACTTTGAAGTAACAAACTAAGATGGTCTATTACACACTATGATACCATCTGATTTCGGTTGTGGCTGCCATGGTTAATCACAGTTTAACATTTGGTAGTATTTATAATAAAATACTGCATAAAATATTGAAACCTTTTGATTTATTTAGATCAATATTTGGAAAAAAATATTATAGGGATTATTTATAGAAATCAGATGAGAGATACAATTCTAACAGGTTCTCTATTTTTTTAAACCTCAAAATCTACACTTGAATTGATATGTTGTTTTCTTGACAGCATGTAACATAAGTTTATATTGATTCTTAAGGATAGACCATTCCAATCTTAAGACATAATGACACTTTTCTTATACATTTATTTGAAACATTAAAATAATACAAGCTCATCTCCTTTAATTGTATTTCAGATATGGTAGAATTAAAGAAAAGTTTATGGGATGTTATGGAGGGAAACCTGATTTTTATGCCAGAGCATCAGGAAGAGTCAATCTAATTGGTGTGTGATTAAATTTTTAAACAGAACACTTACTCAGTTTTCATCAGATTCATTTAACAAAGAGCCACATCTTAAAAAGTTTTGGGTTCCTACTAAGGGAGTGTTTAACAACCCTGACTACCCATGAGTGTCTCCCACAGTTGGTTTCGGGTTTCCACACCTCTATCATGTCCATTGTCTTATAATGGAAGGGAGATAATTTTATGAAAAACGATTCAAATTATCTCCCTTCCACTATATTAATAGGAAGTACACCACTAATTCATGGCCCCATTGCTTTCTATGTTAAATTCCTCAATATCAATCAGACACAGCTCTTTTGTTTCAAGTTCAAATAAAGTGACAATCATTGCATGTCAAAGCAACACTTTATGGTGTCTTGTACTGGAAAAATCAACATACCTTTAATGGCATATAAGAAAGAACTGGTTCCCGGAACTTCGGATGTACCAAAACAGGTACTTCAGATCTGACATACAGGCAAAAAGTACCCTCTTTATAAAATTTGGTGCAGTTTTTTTAATATTCAAAATTATAAGTCAAAAAGTGTTCTACAATGATCACCAGTCATTAAACTTTCATTTGATACCAACAATACCTAAATATTCTACATATTTTGAAAGTTACACTCATGCGTAGGAACTATTTTGTATTAAATATGTACTACTTTCTGGTATGTGCTTTCTGGCCAGGCCGAATAAGTGGTGTTACACCAATACTATGGAGATGATGGGTTTCAGAACCTCCATAGCCTTGATATAGTGGAAGGGAGATAATTTGATTCTGTTTTTTCTTCACATAAGCAGTGGATTTCTAAAATTAAAAATTAGCCTAACATTTGCCACATAATTCAATAAATAAGATTTACCTTGATTTTCTGAGAAATCTTTGTTTAAGTAATGAAAATTACTCTTTTATTGGGTCATTCAGTTGCACATGTTATTGTTGCATCTTGAACATCCATGGCACACCCCATATTGTAGTGAAGGTAATTTCTTGCAGAATTTGAATTTTATGATTTTTTAGGCAAAAAGTTTTCGTATTTATTAATTTCCATTTTTTTTCTTGTACTTAATTTTGATCTTTCATAAAGATCAAATTTATGTGAGGGGAGATTTTTTCAGATTTTATCTTAATTGAGAAATTTTTATGTCCCCGCCATAGCGGAGGGGGCATTAAGTTTTACCCTTGTCCGTCTGTACGGAAAAAGGGAGAAGGTTTGGTACCATTAATACGTTTAATCCCACTGCAAATGTTTGCACCTGTCTTAAGTCAGGAATCTGATGTACAGTAGTTGTCGTCTGTTTATGTAGTTCATACGTGTTTCTTGTTTCTCGTTTTCATATAGATTAGACCGTTGGTTTTCCCGTTTGAATGGTTTTACACTAGTAATTTTTGGGGCCCTTTATAGATTGCTGTTCGGTGTGAGCCAATGCTCGGTGTTGAAGGCCGTACCTTGACCTATAATGGTTTACTTTTATAAATTCTTACTTGGATGGAGAGTTGTCTCATTGGCACTCATACCACATCTTCCTATATCTATGTACATACGTCCGTACGTCCCAAAATTGGTTTCCGTTCTCTAACTTTAGTTTGCCTCAACCAAATGATGACCTATAATGGTTTACTTTATAAATTCTTACTTGGATGGAGAGTTGTCTCATTGGCACTCATACCACATCTTCCTATATCTATGTACATACGTCCGTACGTCCCAAAATTGGTTTCCGTTCTCTAACTTTAGTTTGCCTCAACCAAATGTTATGAAACTTAATGACAATGCTTATTACCACAAAACACAGATCAAGTTTGAATTTTGGTGGCGTCACTTTTACCTTTCTAGAGTTATGCCTCTATACAAAAATGGAAAAATTGCTGAATTTTTCGTTTCTTTCTCTAACTTTAGTTTGCTTCAACCAAATGTTATGAAACTTATAGACAGTGCTTATTACCAGAAAACACAAATCAAGATTGAATTTTGGTGGTGTCACTTTTACCATTCTAGAGTTATGCCCCTTTAAAAATTTAAAAATTGCTGAATTTTTTGTTTCCGTTCTCTCACTTAAACTTGCCTCAACCAAATGTTATGAAACTAATAAACAATACTTATTACTACAAAACTCAGATCAAGTACAAATTTGGGTAGTGTCACTTTTACAGTTCTTGAGTTATGTCCGGTATAACGGTATATGCAAGCGGGGGCATCATCTGTGTCCCATGGACACATTCCCCATTTATTTAAAATAAACCCCGTAGTAAAAATTTATGATTTACAGTATTCCTTTGTAACATATTGCAAAGCAGAGATGAAATTATTAAGGAGGTCAGTTGGTCATAATGATCCCATGTTTTTAAATGACCTGATGAAAGTGGTTTTGATTGATGTTAGTTAAAAACCTCATTTATAGACCATAGTTTAGTTGTTATTACAATATTGCATACAAGATAAGTTGATTTCACGGTGGTATAGACAACCACTACAATAAAACATACCTATACCCTTTATAGTACAGTCGGACTTAGTGCAAGTCAGAAATTATATAGGTTCAAGAGAATCTCTTAGTTTAACTTTCTGGGGTTGGACATGTAATGTATATTCATGAAAATGGAAATTATTCTTAAATAACATAGAGTATATATATATATATTATTTTTCATGACTTTAATTGTATTGACAGGTGAACATATAGATTACTGTGGATATTCTGTGTTGCCGATGGCTATAGAACAGGATCTAGTAATCGCTGTAAAGTCAAATGACAGTGGTCGTCTTCAAATAGTTAACACCAACATGGAATATGGGTAAGTTCTTTTTTATTCAATTCAAAAAATAACAATATAAAAATAAGAAGATGTGGTATGATTGCCAATGAGACAACTCTCCACAAGAGACCAAATGACACAGAAATTAACAACTATAATTCACCATACGGCCTTCAACAATGAGTAAAACCCATACCGCATAGTCAGGTATAAAAGGTCCGGAAATGACAAATGTAAAATATTCAAACGAGAAAACTAACGGCCAGATTTATGTACAAAATAATTAACGAAAAACAAATATGATATACAGCAACAAACGACAACCAATGAAATACAGGCTCCTGACTTGGGACAGGCACATACAGAATGTGGCGGGGTTAAACAAGTTTAAAGGCGCCAACCCTCCCCCTAACCTGGGACAGTGGTGTAAAGTTCTTTTATATAATTTTTTTTTTTAAATCTAATCACAGTGGTTTCCTTTCAAGGTTTTGAGAAATATCAACTGGACATTTGGTCCAGTAAACCATTCTTACCTGGACCAGACTCTTTTTTACAGGACATTTGATTTGGACAAAATTAAAAATTTTACCGGTCATTTGCTCCAGTAATGCATATCAATTAACTTGACCAAATAAAATTTTACTGGACTTTGCCCAATGTCTGGGAACTTTAATTTGAAATGACTGTATCAAATAAAAAAAAGTGTTTAAAAAACTTGTTACTGGTCAGTGTTTCAATTGGTCTTTTGTACAAATTTCAAACAAGTTGCCAAACCCTACTTAAGATCTTTTTATCAATCATGTTTGTGTTTGCAAAATACTATCAAAGTATGAAATAAGGATAATAAAAATTTATATAGCAAATAATGGATACACTTTAAATGTTCCTTTAGGAAAAGATAGTTCAGAATAATGCTAAGTGGAACATGTATTATCAGCTTTACGTGATGTCCTTAAAAAATATATATAATGACTTATTGCAGCTTATACAATTTGGTTACAATTACATGACAAAGGTGAAATGTACATTTTCTTCTTTTGCCTTTTTCTTGTGGTGTGAAAAGCAATTGAAAGTCTAATGTTCTTGTATTTCAGAATGTTTGAATGTGAAATAAACAATTTTTCCATCAACAAAGAGAAACCAGTATGGCATAACTATTTTCTGTGTGGACTAAAAGGACTACTTGAACATTGTAAAGTGACCAAGCCAAAAGGACTACAGTGTGTTGTAGATGGCACTATACCTAAAAGTGCTGGTCTGTCTAGTTCTAGTGCATTAGTATGTTGTGCTGCACTGGTGACTATGCATGCCAATGGACAATCACTTTCTAAGGTATAGCAATATTGTTATATTCTGAAAGATTGCAGTATTTGTTTATAGAAAAGCTGTTTCTGTCTCTACTATTAGCTCAAATCTATTGGCATTAATTCTGTACACAGAAACTTCAGACAGTTCTTCTGAAAAAGGTGATTTCATATTCTTAAACCTGCATTTAAAAAATCAATCCTACTTTTCTTGCAATAAACTTTAAGAAATCTGTAATTCAAAAAAGTTTGAAAGAATTTTTCTGTAGATCTTAATGTGTAACTCATTATAATAAGATGATGGAAAGTTTTTTCTGTTGTAGCTTATTCTTTTTTTCTTATATTTATTGCAACAAAAAGATTCTTATAAAAACATGATCATAAACAAAATTAATAACAAATTGATATTGAAGGTTTGCTATAACACTAAGAATTGAGTTTCATGAAATTAGTTTAATTTGAAATTTATAGTTTTTGTTTGTTTTTTTTTCCACATTTTCTAACAACTTTGAGCAAATTTTTCATGTATGTAGTAGCATAGTTAGAAATGTGATAGTTCGAGCAGGTCATGTCCTATTGACACACATTCTTGCTTTGTCTTTACATTAGAATGTTTTTAATAATATATTTGACAATACATATTATCAGAAATACCTATATATTTTAGAAAGAGCTGTCTGACATGTGTGCCCATTGTGAACATTATATAGGAACTGAAGGAGGTGGAATGGACCAAGCAATATCATTTATGGCAAACAAAGGCACTGTAAGTAAACTTATATTCAGCCTAGCTGAGGAGGCTATACTTATGTTTTATCTATCCATTAGTCTATCTGTTCGTCATCACATTACCCTCATCTTGAAAGTTCTGGGTGCTGCATTTTCTTTTGCATTTTGGATTTTGAGATTAGTTCTTCAAAATCTAATTATAAAAAAATCTGGAAACAGAAGATAAACTGTGGATTCATTTATTTAAGTTGGTATCCATTTTTGTATTTGGAGAAAAAATGCTATATCAAGGTTTCATCATTTGCTCCTATCAAAGTTAACATAAATTTGTTTTTTGTAGAGTGTTTAAATTTTTAGTTTTCAACTACCCATGAAATCTGCAAATAATTGGTATCCCACAAATATTAAGGAAAACTTTTATATATAATTGATAATAAATATCAACTCTATTTGTTCAAAAGGGTCCTAAGCTAACAATGAAGATATATGCTTGCATTCATTTGACAGCTTTATTTAATGATATAATTATCCTGGTCTGTCATTTGACAAGATACACGGCAAACATTTTTCATCTTTTAAGTCTGATGAACATATCAAGGAACTGTGCATACCACACATATGGTAGAATAATTTATGATACAAGTGAATAAACCTTTAGTATTTTATCTTTTCTATGGGAAACAGGATGAGTTCATGAGACAATATTGCCAAAGTATACTTAGGAATAACATATATCAAAGGAACAATGCTATTATTGGTTCTTCATCTTGAAAGTAACTAGAAGATACATTTTGACTGATATTGTTTGTGGTCAAGAAAGAAAATTTATTTTAAAGTATATTGAATCAGTGTGTATTGAAGAAAATCATGTTTAAATTTTACAAGTCCAGTAAATATAAGAAAATATTATTCATTTTTTCACAAGTATTTACTCATCATTATAGGCCAAGTTAATAGAATTCAATCCACTGAAATCAACAGATGTTGAACTACCAGAAGATGTAGTGTTTGTGATATCAAATAGTTGTGTAGAACTAAACAAAGCAGCTACCTCACATTTTAATATCCGGGTTGTAGAATGTCGACTGGCTTCACAGGTATAGTACTTTTTTTTAACCATCAAATTACTTGTAAGAACTAGATGAAGTTAAATTTTAGGACAAGGGGGGACAAGCTAGAAATTAAATGGTAATTCTACGGTTACTGATATTCAGTCCAAAATAACAAATTCTACAAATTGAAGAGCTTGTTTAAATACTTAACCTGTAGTTATATATATGATATTAATAACAGCATCAAAATTATGTGTAGACTGTTACTGGAAGATTCATATTATTTTTACATTCATAAAAGTGAACTGATTATTTGTAAACAGCTGTTGTCATATCAATAAAACATTTGAATTACAAGTGAATCCATACATGTGTTTACCAATTTTATTGTAACTGTTTGTATAAAAATAAGAAGATGTGGTATGATTGCCAATGACACAACTCTCCACCAGAGACCAAATGATGTAGAAGTTAGTAACTATAGGTCACCATAGTTCAGTTCAGTTTTAATTTTATCTAGAGATATTCATACGATTGTTAGGTATTTATGTCAACATTGGTCAAGTGAAACAGCATGTTCTACACGACTTTACCTTATGTTTATCTGAGTTTCACCGGAGCAATATTGGTTACTAATTGACATTTTTTAAAACCAGGTATTGAGAAAATCAAAATAGAAATGACCAGTTGCATAAAAATTATTTACACATATATGCTTTCAGTAGTAAATGTAGTATGCATTGTTTTGCAGATAATAGCAAAGACAAAGGGATTAAAGTGGAGGGAATTCAAAAGATTTGCTGATGTACAGAAAGCATTAGGATTAACTTTAGATGATGCTGTAAATGTTGTAAAGGAAATACTTCATCCAGAGCCATACACAAAAGAGGAAGTTTGTGGAATTCTAGAAGTAACTGCTGATGAACTGTCTCAAACTAGTCTTAGTGCAAACACACTTGATGGTAATTATTAATATACGCTTTCTAGATTTTGTGAGAGAAAAAAAACTGTTGAATTTATTTTACTCTAATTTTTGTTATTATCTTGTGGAAACCTCTGCTTTAATAAAATTTGAAAGATCTTAGCAATTATTTCCTATCAAATGGTAATATTTTCTAATCACTGTCTAGTACACTGTAACTCAACAATATGTGTTACTACACATGATAAAGCAACTTTAACATACTACCTGTATAATAATCTTATACTTTTGATGCTCAAAATGTATTTTTATACGACCACAAAAAAATTTTGAGGTCGTATATTGGTATGACGTTGGCGTCGTCGTCGTAAGAAGACACATTGGTTTACGCACTCTAACTTTAGTTTAAGTGAATGGATCTCTATGAAATTTTACCATAAGGTTCAATACCACAAAAGGAAGGTGGGGATTGATTTTGGGGGTTATGGTACCAACAGTTAAGGAATTAGGGGCCAAAAAGGGGCCAAAAATAAGCATTTTTGTAACTTCCAGACATAACTTGTGTGTTAGTGTATGAATCTCTCTGACATTGTACTACAAGGTTCCATATCACAAAGGGAATGCTGGGATTGATTTTGGAGGTAATTGCCTCCAAATTTAAGGAATTAGGGGCCAAAAAGGGGCCAAAAATAAGCATTTTTGTAACTTCCAGACATAACTTGTGTGTTAGTGTATGGATCTCTCTTACATTGTACTACAAGGTTCCATATCACAAAGGGAATGCTGGGATTGATTTTGGAGGTAATTGCCTCCAAATTTTAGGAATAAGGGGCCAAAAAGGGGCAAAAAAAAAGCATTTTTCTAGTTTCCAGACAATAACTTGTGTTCAAGTGTATGGATCTCTCTGAAATCGTACTGCAAGGTACCATACCACAAAGGGAAGACTGGGATTGATTTTGGGGGTAATTGCCTCAAAATTTTAGGAATTAGGGGCCATAAAAGGGCAAAAAAACAAGCATTTTTCTAGTTTCAGGACAATAACTTGTGTGTAAGTGTATGGATCTTTATGAAATTGTACTGCAAGGTTCCATATCACAAAGGGAAAGCTGGGTTTGAGTTTGGGGGTAATTGTCCTCAACGTTTAGGAATTTGGGGCCAAAAAGGGGCAAAAAAACAAGCATTTTTCTAGTTTCCAGACAATAACTTGTGTTCAAGTGTATGGATCTCTCTGAAATTGTACTGCAAGGTACCATACCACAAAGGGAAGGCTGGGATTGATTTTGGGGTGATGAATCATAAGGGGGTTCAAAAAATTTGGGGGGGGGGATTTTTTTTCCTTTTTTTTCTTTAAAATTTTCCATTTTAAATTGGTTATTTCTGATTTATATATAAAAGCAAATAATAATGATATGGTTTGAATAGGTAAATTAATATTTTTTAAGTTCTTAGACCACATTCATTCTGTGTCAGAAACCTATGCTGTGTCAAATATTTAATTACAATCCAAATTCATTGCTGTATCAAGCTTGAATGTTGTGTCCATACTTGCCCCAACTGTTCAGGGTTCGACCTCTGCGGTCGTATCAAGCTGCGCCCCAGCGGAGCATTTTATTTTATATAGTGTTCAGTGGCGGATCCAGGGGGGGGGGGCTTCCGGTGTTGGACCCCCCTTTTTTTGACGATCAAAGCTTTTGAATGGGGACATATGGTTGGAACCCCCTTTTAAAAATGGCTGGAACTTCCCCTGGTGTTTGAAGGGGTTGGTAATGGATTTACTTATTTTGACAGGATTGCATACAAACTAATGAAACTATTCTGTAGTCACTATTGGTCAAATTTGTATCGGTATTTTAGCAGTAGTACATCATTAATAACACGGTCAAAATAAATTCAATTAAAAATAATGACATCTAAACTAAAATAAACTTTAATATCTATTGGAAGTGAATATAATTGTACATTACAGTTAAATCATTTAAGTTACATGACAGAGCCACCCATGTGTTTAGTGAGGCCAATAGGGTATTACAATTCAAGAGAACTTGCGACTTGAAACCAGATGATGCTTCAGTTGTCTTGGGTAACTTGATGAATGACAGCCATACCAGCTGTAGAGACTTATACCAATGTAGCTGTGAGGATTTGGATAGATTAGTTGATATTTGTTGGTAAGAATTAATTATCTGGCTTTTATGTTTATATCAAGTTTAAATTGAAGTGTATTTTTTATAATTTTATTCCAAGGTGTCTCCATTATCCCTCAGAAACTTAAAAAAATATCATTCTCTGATACTGCTTTGCAAATTGGAACTAAAAATGATTTGAATCATCAATACAGTAAGTAAGTAATATCTAATAATGATAATGACCATCACACATGTCTGCTATTACCATGAATAGTACAAACTAGTAAAAAAAGCCCAAATTTATTTTTTTGGAAACCTCTTCAATTCTTTAGCTACTTTTTGGTAAATAATTGTGTAATTGAGTATTTGCATGCTCCTGTCAACGTTTTGGTGCACTTCACAAAGTACTTATTAGGGGAAACTTACTTATTTTTTTTAAAGCAACTTCAAAAGGAATATAATTCCTTTTTTGGGTCTAATGGTTGTCAATGAAATACATGTGATATTGTACATGGTGTAACAAAATCGTTTTTCAGCAGAACAGGATATGTCCACCAAGATCTTTGAATCCCTGTCAATCTTTCTCTATATGATTCCAAAGGGTTTACTGCAGTGGTTAAGGCCTCAAATAGTTGCAGGTATTATTTATATTTTGTTACATATTTGCCTTCAAGCTAGCAGTATTTTTGGATAAATACCCAATGACCAGCTGTGTTAGTCTTGACATGGGGACTCATGCACTGCTTTTTTATAATCAGGTTCCAAAACTAGTCATTACTATATTTTTATTCCCGAAATCTTGTTAATAAATTTGCTATTTTTTGTTACATTTGTTTTCATCATTGTCTTTTAAAAAATGCTGTAACAATTCAATGCAAATTCTACATGATTAGAATAGATTTTGGCTTCTTGGAGCTGTAGTATTTCAAATTCAAAATACAATATTAGATAATACAATTTGTCTGATAAATATCTTTTTATACGTTTCCTTATTAGTCCCCTATCAACGAAGTCGAAGGGGACTTTAGGTTTGCACTCCGTCCGTCAGTCTGTCCATCTGTCAGTCCGGCAAATCAGTTTTCCACACTTTTTTTCTTCGTGCTTGAAGATATTGATTTGATATTTGGTGTATTGTTTTATCATGACAAGTTATAGATCAAGTTAGCATTTTGTTCCAATACAATGAATTTTTAACCGTTAGGGGACTATGTATTGCCATGCAATACTCTCAGAATGCTTGTTTTTAATCTTTAAATATATTTATCTGAAATCTTTATGAAAAAATATACCTTTTAACAGTGTTTGTGTTTTTTCAGTCAATCAGGTGCTCTTGGATCAAGACTTACAGGTGCAGGTTGGGGAGGATGTGCTGTTTCCATGGTTCCAGCCAATCAAGTTGATTCTTTCATAAAGTCAGTTACAGAACGGTATTATGGGAAGGATGAGAGACTTAAGGAAAGAGTTACAGAAAACCTGTTTGCTACACAACCAGGTGGAGGGGCAGTTATTTATGTCGAATGAAATTAATAAGAAATTGACTTCTTATATCATTGTGATGAAAATTGTCTCCAGTCTAATTTTAAAATTGCAAGGACAATAAAATGAGGGTACATTTAATAGAGGGTTATACTGACTAACAGGGTTATAAATAAGTATTACTGGATTAATACTTCAAGGGAACTGTGGTGTTATTGAGGAGGTGATGGAAAGTTAACCTACTTACATACATATTATACATAAATATTGACTTTTTGTATGCTTTAATGTTGATTACTTTTATCATGTTTATAGTAAACCAAATATGTTTTTCATTTTAATACAAATGAACCATAATAAATCATATTAGCAATAGATACATTTGGGAACTGATGGTTTTTTTTATTTACAGTTAAAATTGATTTTAGTGGCTACATTTGCATTTCAATCTTTGATGAAACATATATTTCTGGTAGAACGAGCAAGTTCTATATGTCTTTATTTGAGGACGATATTAATGTGTTTCTCTCATCCATTGTAATAAAAATTCAGACCCAATTGCAATTTTGTTCATCCAATCAAACTGAACTGCTAAATGTTTTTACCAAAATGTTCTAGGAGACCCATGGTCAAGTCACCTGTTTTTGTAGGGCGAGTGCAAAAAGAAAGCATACATATAATCCTGTTAAATTTGATTTCATCAACATCTTTACTATCACTACTACTACTAGTGATTAAATACCTTGACTACCCATGAGGGTTTCACACAGTCTGCAATTTACTATACTCAGCATAGCTCTACTTTTATAAATCATCAATGGTAAAGTCGTATGAAAGGTAAGGTAGTAATTTATGAATTGCTACATAACTGTCAATCGAGGAGGTTTGATAAGAGCCATTTTCCTACTTCAAAAAATAGTAAAATTCTTCAATTCTTTCAAAATTTGTGTTGTTTTATTGATAATGAACAAGATGATATCATACAAAAAATACCTCCTTACTTGTCATGTGACTACATTTGATCAGTAAAGAACTCAGAACAGCTACAGTAAAGATTAATTGGAAATTAAGACTAAGGATTAAAATTGGAAAAATTTGAAAGACAAGGGGAATAACTCTACATAATTTGCTCCAAGCTTATCTTTGAAATACACAAATATATTCCTAAACAAAGCCGCTTAAGCAAAATTTTGTGGGAGGTCAATGGACACCCACATTAGTGAAAGGCTAATTTATATTGAATATTTCATATTGTGATCAGAAAACTCAGTTAAACATAAAGGTTTTATTGTTAATGTTTGTTGTTGGAGGTAATACTTAGTTAGATTTATCTTGTCAGTAACATAATTGATATGTAATGAAAACAAAAAAACAATAAAGAATGAACTGTACAACTTCACAAAATTTTATATGAATTGAGATGTGGATGTTGAAGGTACTTTAGGACCCTCTTCTTTGTACCGAAAATTGGAACTATTATATATACTTAATTTATGCCATATATTTATATATTATACATTTATATTATATATATTAAAATATTTTTTTTAATTTTTGTTTTATAATAGTCTTCAAGTTAAATTATTTATTGCATTTGCGGTGCTCTGGATAATGTTTATGCATGGAATGCTGATGTGGGTTGAAATTCAAATTTTTAATTGTTTAAAAGGACGAAAGATTGTGGAATAAAAGCAACATTCATTTGAATATGAATAATGTATCTCATGGAAGGCATTGAATCGGCATTGAAAGTTTCCAAAAAAATGTGTATTTACATGTAAATGATTTCTTTGCACACAAACATGTTTCTTAGTCAACTTTAATCAAGAATGTTTGAGACAGAAAGTTTGTAAATCCATATCAGTAAATATAAAACTTTTGAGAGCATGAAACCAAAATGGTTTTAACAAAACAGAAAAAAATAGTCTAAGGTCAACTTTACCTGTTGTGAATTTATTAATTGCAAAGGAGAATCAGCAATTTACTTGAAATATTGTAAGCATGAGTTGAAACTTTCATCTTTCATAGAAATGTAGTGCATTGTGGTAGATTTTTGTTCTTATTCCTAAATGCTGCTAATACCAGTTTTAAAAGTATTTGTTTATACCCAGATTTGGATCAAACCCACAACCACCGCCACTTGAGGGAATCAACCACAGGGACATTGATTTGTCTAAGAGTTTGTTCCATATTGGCCAGGAATTGTACTTAACCTTGAACCTATTTCTTACGATTCATTGATGATGTTAAGGTTTTCTAAATGAAGTTTGTTCCTCAGTAAATTTGCATCACATTGCATTAACCCATTTCTCTGACGTCAGTCTATTGTTCTCACTAAAGATTATTTTTATGGCCAAGCCACAAAGTGGTTGGGGCCATTTAGTGCTACCGTTATCCGTCATTCTGCAACAAACAGTTATACATGTACTGACTTTTTTATACGACCGCAAAAATTAAAAATTTTTTGGTCGTATATTGGTATGACGTTGGCGTCGTCGTCGTCGTCGTCGTCGTCGTTGTCGTCGTCGTCGTCGTCGTCGTCCGGCGTCGTCTGGCGTCGTCCGAAGACACATTGGTTTTCGCACTCTAACTTTAGTTTAAGTGAATGGATCTCCATGAAATTTCACCATAAGGTTCAATACCACAAAAGGAAGGTTGGGATTGATTTTGGGGGTTATGGTACCAACAGTTAAGGAATTAGGGGCCAAAAAGGGGCCAAAAATAAGCATTTTTGTGACTTTCAGACAATAACTTGTGTGTAAGTGTATGGATCTCTCTGACATTGTACCACAAGGTTCCATATCACTAAGGGAAGGCTGTAATTGATTTTGGGGGTAATTGCCTCAAAATTTTAGAAATTAGGGGCCAAAAAAGGGGCAAAAAACAAGCATTTTTCTAGTTTCATGACAATAACTTGTGTGTAAGTGTTTGGATATTTCTGAAATTGTACTACAAGGTTCCATATCACAAAGGGAAAGCTGGAATTGAGTTTGGGGGTAATTGCCCGAAACGTTTAGGAATTGGGGGCCAAAAAGGGGCCAAAAATAAGCATTTTTCTAGTTTCCAGACAATAACTTGTGTTCAAGTGTATGGATCTCTCTGAAATTGTACTGCAAGGTACCATACCACAAAGGGAAGGCTGGGATTGAGTTTGGGGGTGATGAATCATAAGGGGGTTCAAAAAATTTGGGGGGGGGGGATTTTTTTTTTTTTTTTTTTTCTTTTTTTCCTTTTTTTTTTCTTCTAAAATTTTCCATTTTAAGTTGGTTATTTCTGATTTATACTTAAAAGCAAATAATAATGATATGGTAGGAGATACACACCAAACAGGATGTGTAAATTATTATATAATAAGTATTGTGCAATAGCAAGAAATTTTCAATTGCACAGTATTGCACAATAGCAAGAAATCTTCAATTGCACAGTATTGCGCAATAGCAAGAAATCTTCAATTTAACAGTATTGCGCAATAGCAAGAAATATCCAATAGCACAATATTGCGCAATAGCAAGAAATTATCAATTGTACAGTGTTGCACAATAGCAAGAAATATTCAATTGCACAGTATTGTGCAAAAGAAGATACTTCGTATAAATTGCTTATTTCTTGATCAATTTCAATGGGGTTTTATTCTTGAATTCTTGGGGTTCTTTAATATGCTGAATCTAACCGTGTATTAAGTTTTTGGATTTTGGGCCCCGTTTTTAAATTGGTCCACATTGAGGTCCAAAATTAAACTTTGTTTGATTTCATCAAAAATTGAATTATTGGGGTTCTTTGATATGCCGAATCTAACCGTGTATTTAGATTTTTAATTTTGGGTCCCGTTTTTTAAATTTGTCTACATTAAGGTCCAAAGGGTCCAAAATTAAACTAAGTTTGATTTTAACAAAAATTGAATTCTTAGGGTTCTTTGATATGCTGAATCTTAACATGTGTTTAGATTTTTGATTATGGGCCCAGTTTTCAAATTGGTCCAAGTTGGGGTCCAAAATTAAACTTTGTTTGATTTCAACAAAAATTGAATATATGGGGTTCTTTGATATGCTGAATCTAAACATGTATTTAGATTTTAGATTTTTGGCCCAGTTTTCAAGTTGGTCCAAATTGGGGTCCAAAATTAAACTTTGTTTGATTTCAACAAAAATTGAATATATGGGGTTCTTTGATATGCTGAATCTTACCATGTATTTAGATTTTTTATTTGTGGGCCCGCTATCAAATTGGTTCATATTGAGGTCAAAAGGGTCCAAAATTAAACTTTGTTTGATTTCATCAAAAATTGAATTATTGGGGTTCTTTGATATGCCAAATCTAACCGTGTATTTAGATTTTTAATTTTGGGTCCTGTTTTTTAAATTGGTCTACATTAAGGTCCAAAGGGTCCAAAATTAAACTTAGTTTGATTTTAACAAAAATTGAATTTTTAGGGTTCTTTGATATGCTGAATCTAAAAATGTGTTTAGATTTTTGATTATGGGACCAGTTTTCAAGTTGGTCCAAGTTGGGGTCCAAAATTAAACTTTGTTTGATTTCAACAAAAATTGAATATATGGGGTTCTTTGATATGCTGAATCTAAACATGTATGTAGATTTTAGATTTTTGGCCCAGTTTTCAAGATGGTCCAAATTGGGGTCCAAAATAAAACTTTGTTTGATTTCAACAAAAATTGAATATATGGGGTTCTTTGATATGCTGAATCTTACCATGTATTTAGATTTTTTATTTGTGGGCCCGCTATCAAATTGGTTCATATTGAGGTCAAAAGGGTCCAAAATTAAACTTTGTTTGATTTCATCAAAAATTGAATTATTGGGGTTCTTTGATATGCCAAATCTAACTGTGTTTTTAGATTTTTAATTTAGGGTCCTGTTTTTTAAATTTGTCTACATTAAGGTCCAAAGGGTCCAAAATTAAACTTAGTTTGATTTTAACAAAAATTGAATTCTTCGGGTACTTTGATATGCTGAATCTAAACATGTGTTTAGATTTTTGATTATGGGACCAGTTTTTAAGTTTGTCCAAGTTGGGGTCCAAAATTAAACTTTGTTTGATTTCAACAAAAATTGAATATATGGGGTTCTTTGATATGCTGAATCTAACCATGTATTTTGATTTTGGACATTGGACCATAATAGGTAAATTAAAAAAATTGAAGTTCTTAGACCACATTCTTTCTGTGTCAGAAACCTATGCTGTGTCAAATATTTAATCACAATCCAAATTCAGAGCTGTATCAAGCTTGAATGTTGTGTCCATACTTGCCCCAACTGTTCAGGGTTCGACCTCTGCGGTCGTATCAAGCTGCGCCCAGCGAAGCATTTTATTTCTAAATGCCTTCACATATTGAGCTGATTTTTAGTATGTGAGTCTACTTTGATGAGTTACAGATCAAATTTACATTTGGTTCCGCTCCGCTGCTTTTTGCTGAAATTATGGGCTTTTGGACTTTGAAAATTTCATGATAATAACAGTTATACAGACTTTTTTCTCAAATTTACACTCTTAAAAATGGCTTTTTTTGAGAGCGGATCCATTCTTGTCGTTCCGTCACATCTAGTTTAAGAATCCTCTGACCACTGTGTTAACTTAAGATAACTTACAAAATAACTTAACTTTTTACCTTCAATCTTTTATCCTCTCAAAAACGAGTTTCATATGAAGAGTTCAAAATTTCATGTATTTTCATTGCAGATCATTTGTCTTCAGTCCATGCATGATACCACTAGACAAACATTTTCTTTAAAATCATTAAAAAAAAAGAGTTTATTCCAGTTGTCAGGTTTGAACATTGGTCGATTAAACTTAACATCCATATGCATATTAAATTTGTCTCTTTTAACGTACAAGAACTTTCAACTGATTTTCCTTTACGAATCAACTACTTATAAATTATTTATTTAAAGTACAAATTTAAGTGCAAAATATGATCGTCTTGAGAAATAGGATGTTAAAATTATAGTTCAGTGTAATATTTATCATCAAAGTCACTAGTGTACAATTATATCACAGCAACATCATTAACAAACAAGTATGCTTGCTTTGTCGTGCTATTAAAACATACCACACTTGCAATTAAAAGTATTAGAAAACTGGAAATAGTTACCTGACAGATCCAAAAAATGCGCACATTAATAATTATTTCTGTTGAGCTGCTGACCAAATATGAAGTCATTCTGTTCAGTCGTATTAGAGAAATGTGTGATGAAAAATTTTAATTCATTCATCATATAGAAAAAAGTAACAAGAAACAAGATGTAGGTATCTGACAAGCGCTGACCAAATATTAAGTAATTCTGTTTAGTTGTTTCTGAGAAAAGTGTGAAATATATTATTTGTTGGAACTACAAACAAGGTAATTGCAATATCACACCACTCATAGTTCAAAGTTTCTTCTGAAAATCCAGAATAGAACTGGCTTATTGCTTTTGAACTTATTAAATAAGTAGTTTGATATATTTAGATATGTTGGAAAGTGGCAATTGTTGTTAATGGGCATAAATCAAAGTGAGCAACACTCTATAGTTTCTTCTTCTATCCTCTGAATACTTTTTTTTTGTAATTTTTTTATTTTTCATGATGAAACATGTGAAATTAAAGAACCTTAGTGAGCATGCTCACATACCCCACGTCCCCACATTGTCATTGGAGAAATAAAATAAGTGTAAGAAAAAAAATTGTATCAGAAAAAAAAATTGAATCATAATTTCCTGTCAATATGCACATCTACATAATATGTCCTTATTATCTACACAGTTTCATGAAATTCTGTTGTGTGGTTTGAGAGGAGTTGCGATGACAAAAGGTTGCAGTAGTATATTGGGCAAATAAGTTAAAAGGGACGTAACTCCTGGAAAAAAAATTGAATTGTAATTTCCTGTCGATATGCACATCTACGTAGTATGTCCTTATTATCTGAAAAGGTTTCATGAAATTCTGTTGTGTGGTTTGAGAGGAGTTGCAATGACAAAAGGTTGCGTTGCAGTAGTATATTGGGCAAATAAGTTCAAAGGGGCGTAACTCCTGGAAAAAAAATTGAATTGTAATTTCCTGTCGATATGCACATCTACGTAGTATGTCCTTATTATCTGAAAAGGTTTCATGAAATTCTGTTGTGTGGTTTGAGAGGAGTTGCGATGACAAAAGGTTGCGTTGCAGTAGTATATTGGGCAAATAAGTTCAAAGGGGCGTAACTCCTGGAAAAAAAATTGAATTGTAATTTCCTGTCGATATGCACATCTACGTAGTATGTCCTTATTATCTGAAAAGGTTTCATGAAATTCTGTTGTGTGGTTTGAGAGGAGTTGCGATGACAAACTGTTGCAGTAGTACATTAAAGTAAATAAGTTCAAAGGGGCGTAACTCCTAGAAAAGAATTGAATCGTAATTTCCTGTCGATATGCACAACTACATAGTATGTCCTTATTATCTAAAAAGGTTTCGTGAAATTCTGTTGTGTGGTTTGAGAGGAGTTGCGATGACAAGAAACAGGACTGACGGACTGACGGACTGATGGACTGACGGACAGGTCAAAAACATTATACCCTCCGCAACTCGTTGCGTGGGGTATAATTACATACTACAGTACTATTAGACACAAATTATAAAATTTAATTAAAACTTGTCAGATCGATCAAGTCATAATGATATAATAAGATATGCATATTACAATTGATTTTGTTAATTAAAAGCTGCTTCTAACAATTGCCACTTCTGATCCATTTTTATTACTTTTTGGGCAGGGGTTAAAAAACATACTGAGTATTTTTCTATATTAATCCAGTATTTTAGATATTCTATCCTACCATATTTTGTGGGCAATATGTTCTTACATCTACATTTGTATATAGTATTTAAATAACTACAAAATATTATTTAGTGTTTTACTGTTGACAAAATCCTCAGACACACCTTAAGTGACTTTATTTTGCGCTGAAAGGCAAGCAATTATCATAATTTCTAATCCAGTCTAAAATGGATAGCCAGAAATTTTGTATAACATTACATTCCCAAAAAATATGAAAAAAATTTTCTCTGATTTCTGAACAAAATGTACATAGTTCAGTTTCTTTTAATTTACATTTTAATAAAAATGAATTACATGGTAGAATCCTATGAACAAACTTAAAATGAAAATTTTGTAAAATGAATTTCTGGTTATAATAAAAGGCATAGAGTAATTGTATTCCAACCTTCAATCTGCTTATTCTAATCTATTTCCCATTTATTACGGGAAGATAAAGCTAATACTTTATTATCTTCCAAAAATAATTTATAGATTTTGGTTCCTTTTTAACTTTATCTACCAATTTATTTTCAATATTATTCAATTTAGAACTATCTTCTATCATACTTTTCCATCTATTTGGAATTGCACTTATTATACCATGAAACTCTACAAAATTAGTATTGATATTATACTTTTTTTTAAATTCTTCCATATGAGAATAATGTATTATTATCAGACACCAGATCATTAATAAAGAATACACAATTTTCAATATATTTGAATTTCAAAATCATCTTGCCACCTATTTTGATGTTTGGTTTTAGGCATATGGACTGGAACAGAATATCAGTATAGTTTTCAGCTTTAAACTTATTTTGCAACTTGGAAAAATTAACAAGGATGTCATGCCAAAAGGGATTGACTTTCTTTGCTAAAAAAAGTAATCCATCTCGACTGAAGTGTAAAGTTTTGTCACCCCCAAATTTTTGTATATAACTTAGCAGCAAAACTTTCTAAGGGGAGTAATTTTATGGATCTAATAATTTATAGTAATGCCCAATAAAAATAAGCCATATTTAAGAGATTTTATCTAGGATCAAGATTTGCAGAATGTCATACTATGTACAGCTATCCATATCAACTGTGACCTCTGACTTTTACTTAAATAAAAATCAGCAGGCTTCAACCCTTTTCGACTTTCAACAACTTTAGTTCTATCAAATTCTAACAGAAATACCTCAAGGAATCATCCAGACAACAGATTGCAACTATTAATTTAATATTTTTTCAATATAAAAATAAGTACAGTAGATATGGTATGATTGCCAATGAGACAACTCTCCACCAGAGACGATATGACGTTGAGGTTAGCAAGACCAAATGACGTGTACACTGTTAAGTCGTCATGACAAATGAGGAGTAATTGTCAAAACCTAGTTTTATGTTGGTCAAGCTTATAAGCAATACAATACGGTTATCTGGAATATATTGCAAAATAATCAAAAAATCTATTACAGTCAAGTTTTCATCTTAAATTTCTCACAATTAGAAAATTCAGTAAATTTTTTTTTCTCATTTTGGCTTCCTTACATCATGACGTAATAGGTACACTTCTGATGTCAAACACAAACACCACACATTTTTAGGCTTTTCATGCAATTGAGAATGGGTTATGATGAAGACATAATCTTTCGATAAGTTTAATGGAGGTCTGGAGCTGGCATGTCAGTAACTGCTAGTAGTCCTTTGTTAATTTATGTCGATCATTGTCATTTTGCTTACATTCTTCAGTTACCTATTCTAACATAGGACTCATGTTCTTTTAAACTGAGTTTTATTGTGCGTATTGCTGTGTGTTTTTTAATCCACATTAGCTAAAGGTATAGGGGTAGGGTTGAGATCTCACAAAACATGTTAAACCACCCCACCTTTGTTAGTCTTGTGGTTTTTTTTAAATTTTGGTTCAATTATATGTTTCAGAGTTTAGCATGCTGCTGATTTTGCTGAACTAGTATACATTATTGTTTAGGGGCCAGCTGAAGCTCGCCTTTGGGTGCGGGATTTTCTCATTGCGTTTAAGACCCTTTGGTAGCCTTGGGCTGTTTTCTGCTTTCTCGTCAAGTTGTTGTCTCTTTGACACATTCCCCTTTTCCATTCTCAATTCTAGAATGAAATAAACTTGGACAAAGGAAACCTTTCATGTGAAAAATGCAGATATTTTGTCTAAAATTGAAGAAAAATTCCAGAATTCAAAATGACAGCTCACCTTAGTTACAAGCACATAAACTATTGATTTGACACCCTCAAAATTTATGATGTTTTTGTCCAATAAAGATTACAGACATATAGCATTAGAAATTCAAGCATGGGTCAGCAGTTTATATGCAGTTTATATTAGTCATAGTACTGAAAAAAAAATGATGTAAAAAACTTCAGAGAATATTCATGTTCAGTATGATAAAGACTCTTTTGTTTTCATCTTCTACACTTATTTAATACCAACACAATATGCTGAATACTAAATACTCCTGGTGTCATTAGATAGTGATATAATTAATGTTTGATTTTTTATCTGACTAGCAACACAAAAATGACACAATTGTTTTCTTAATTTACATTTATTAAGAGGCTTAGTACAGCAAAACAATTATAATTTATACTACAACTTACAATGAATACATATAAACCCTCTTTATAACAAGTATAATCTTGCATAACAGACATACTTATATGTTATTAAAAGATAGGAGTAAAATTTTGTTTATTGCTTTCCAAAAAAACAAATATTAACAAACACAGTACAATGAAACTTTTGATCAAATATGTGAATAACATGAAAACATTAAATCTTTGTGTAATTGTTTTTTATTTTGGTTATACTGCATTCCCAGGTTTGTGTATATTTTTTTAACATTTTTTCAAGTTTGCCCATTTTTCATTTACACATATAAAAACCCCACATTTTCCTTCCATATTACAATTTCTATGACTTTTACTAAAATGTAGCTGGAATGTTACGACAGTACTCTTTCTATCTTATTTATTCAAGAACACAACAAAGGGACTATTTTTCTATACTACAATAAATTGTACAAATTCATAATTTGTTAATTAATGGTTCATCTATTTAATGGGATGGGTAAATAATATATAATCATGTTGCCTCCAGTATAATTTCTAGAAAATGTGTCCTATCTTGTAATGATCTCGAACAATCACTTAAATATATACTATATTAATACTGAAAATAACACACATCTACCCTTCAAGTACTACAAATCATTTAACATTGAATTCAGTAAAAAAAATCACTTGTTTCACATTTTTACATAATCATTTTTGTTGCATTTTTCCATTTATACTGGTATTTTGAATTTAGTTTTGTGAAATGGTCTTACATATTTTTCACTTTGGAATATTGAAAACCAATTCAGATTAGTATATTAAGACAACTGAAATTGGAAAGTAAAGGAAATATTGAACATAAACTGTATATATGAATTAACAACATACCCAAAGTAACAAAAAATGATTTATATGACACTGAATACATGTATACATAAATTTAAAAAATATGCTTTAGTTGTTCCCAATTAAACATGAATAATAAACAACATATTGCTCTAGCAGCCATTTGTACAAGCAAGTTTTTGACAATATCACTTTCAATTCATTCTGCACATGAAATAGTTTAAAGTATCTGCAACAAATAGAAAAGCTTGTTGATAATTGGAAGTAAACATATTATAAGTACAAGACAGAAGCAATGTTATCATACAATCATCAATAATTACATCACATGAATCCAGAAAAATTTACAAATGTATTCACGATTATGTATCACCCATAAATGGATATTTGTTTAATTATGACCAAATTATTTACTATGTGTTTTTTTTACATTTTTTTTACAATCAAGATTAAAATGAAATGAAGAAGTGAAATGATAAAAATGAGGAAATATAATGAACTGAATGAAAACGTTGCTTCATATCACTGTGCAAAGAAAATATTCATGTATGTATGTCCTATCTTCTTATATACAAAAAGCATTTGACTAGAAAGAAATTTATTGAGAAAAAAGTGTAACATCTAACCTAGTAATATGTTTTCTGCATAACACAGCATTTACACATTATTTATACCTTTCATCACTTTAATTGTGTTAATATGCTGATATACATGTTATATCACATTAAAAATATATATGCAATGATGTTAAATATATCAAGTTAATAATGCCATTAGTTTTTGGTTTGGAAATATAAAAACAATGGTTTTCAGTAGTTGCACAAGACAAAGTCATGCAATTAGTTCTGCTTGTGTTTCAAGACGTAATAAAAACTGTTGTGCTTTATTGTAAAAGAACTTTTAATGTTTCAAAATATCTCCATCCATAGAAAGTTAATAATGAATTTATGAAACTGTTGCACTACTGAGAAATATTTATATTACATTGTATGTTTTCCGTGTAATGCTCAGCAATAAACCTAAAGGAAGACTTCAGTCTTTAACAAATAATGTTCATGGTTTGAACCATTTCTTTCAAAAAAAGTAATCCACAGGTTACAGCCCATTCTGAGTTCAATGCTTTTTTTAACTTCAAGATGCTTGCTCAGAGATTCATTCCAATTAATATCATTCTTCCATTACTGTACAACATTAACTATCTCAAATTTTGTTTCCCTTTAGGAAATTTGCAACAATGTTATGATCCTAAGAACTTTTATGGAATTGTTTACGATATGAACACTTATTAAAATTTCTTTTGAGAAATAAATTATACTTGTCTCTGATTTCAAATGTAATTATCAAAGTCAACATTTGCTCCAATAAAATCATAGAACATAAAATTCTACTTCAATGTTATCTCTTTAAAAGAAATAATATGCCTTATAAGACATTACAATAAAGTACATGTATATATAAACCGTATGCCTTTTATGTGTATTAATACCTCTACTTCCAACAAACTTGTTAAACAAACAAAATATGACTCAAGGATAACTGATATCTTATTCTACATTGATTGCCAGTATACTTAGGTAAACACTGTATCAAACACAGAGGAATATTACTGCAGGTACTTACTGATGTTGTTGAAACTAAAATGTGAGAGAAACTGCAAAATAATTAATTGAGTGGCATCAATCACCTTAAACAGACTTTTGAAGTAGGCTGACAACAATTTTTCATCATAACTATTTATGGTATAAAAATGAACTATTTCAAGTTTAAAAATGAAACTTTTTCTTTCTATTGTATGCTTAAGATGTGGATTAAAAATTTCCACTAGACAGGGGTGAAAATATAGTACTACTTTACTATGGCCTAATCAGGACTTGTAGATGTTATGTATTAATCCTGAGCTGACCAGAATTAGATAAATTGCCTTGAAGTTATTCATACAGCTGGACTACAATACAATGTGCAACATGATATGATATCATTATAAACTAAATAAGTTCTTAACAACAAATGATTAAAACAAATAAATAACAAAATCTCACAACTGCACCATCCAACTTCTTTTTTTATCACATGACTTTCAAGCGTTCTAATTGAGGAACTTTGGCTGGAACAACTCTGAGTGAGTTCAGTATTTATTATTTGATCCATACTGACTAGCCATTCCTTTAGCAGCCCCTGCTGCTGCATTAGCTGCAGCACTTTGTACATGTTCATTTCTCATTACTCCAGTGGAGAATTCCTGCTGAGCTTTGGCAAAACTGGCTCCAGTACTTCTGTATATTCTGTGCACCTAAAAGTCAAACAGACGAGTCCAACATTATTGTAATCTCAAGTTTATCTGAACAAAATCAATAAGTGATACAAATCAAACATTTTGACCAAACAATAAACAGAAAGTTGGCCAACATATTTTTTTCCAAATTAATAGTTACTTAAAACAAAGGAACCCAATCTGACATTTTCTGTCAAAGGTTTTTAATTCATATCAAAGTATATTAACTAGAGCAATACTAAAATTTGACTTGCAATATTTCCTCAAATGACAACTCTCATCAATTTTGCTTATCATTCTAATAAAAAAATACAAACAGTAATACTTTTATCTAAAATATTGTTTAAGTACAGAACAAAACTACAATGTCCTCTCTTAAATGTCGAATAACATAACCTAGAATTAGATCCTTAACACCTTTTTATATAATTTAAAACCAAATTACATTTGATCTCTTTACCAATAAAAAGAAATTTTGGAAAATAGAACAGATATCTGGATGTGTGATTGCTACAAGATTATTGGCATACATATTTCTCTAACATGCAGGATCACTGTGGTGTAAGTGCCCAAATCAAATTCATCAAATAGCTTTTACAAAAACTTTTATGGACATTTCTTCTCTATTCAACATCACTTATATTTGCTTGAAGATTTGGTATTAATCGTAAATCAATTTGTGAAATTTCAAATGAACAAAATCTGGCAAAGTTTTTGGTCCAATGGTCTTTCATTGAACTCTATAATTGTTGGCTATACTGAAGGTATGCCAAAAACACATAGCAAAATGACTGATATCATTTTCAGACATTATGTTCACAAAGAGTATTCTCTTTACTTTTTATTTCTTAATTTTCATTTGTGAGATTAAGGAGCATACACATGAGTATATTTGTAGTGATGAAGTGTAGAATGCTTTAACATCAAATTCGTGGAGAATTGTACGTGTCTTGAATGCACTGCAGCAGGAAGTATACAAGCTTAAGGCATCGTTACCCTGATCAGTAAGAGAATTTTAAACACAGCTGCCATGGAGAAGAAGAATGCTATAAATAGCATCATCACACCAGTACCAGTATGATTTCCAACTACTCTAAAACCATTTATCCATCCACTGTTGGAATATCAAATTATTTCATATGTAAAATTATACAAGTATTTTTGAATATATACATACCCTAAGTAGTAAAACTAACTGCAAAATAGCACAAATGGAAAAGAATAAAGCTATAAATAGCATAATGGCCCCTGCAGCAGGTTTTTTACCCACAACTCCTAGACCATTTATCCAGCCCCTAAAAATATAATATGGAAAGGTTCTATAATTACGAGGGAAACACAAATATAAAAGATGAGGTTTTCTTTTACCAATGGAACTTGGAGCCAGTCATAATAAATTATAATGGTATCTTTGGTATAGCATTTCTGATTTGCAATTATTACTTTAATATATATTTAGATTACAATCAATATGAAATGGCTCTAAGTTAAATTTAAACATAACATAATATGGTATCCTACTATCAACCTAGTTATCCCAGGAATCTACTGTATAACTTCACCATTATAGGACAGGTTAGTGTAAAATAACAACTTGTAAAGACTTAGTCTCAGATTACAAACTTCTTTTTTACAAGGTTGTCACATACTGATTAGATGTACAGATATCAATGCAAAATTGTTATTTTTCTACTTAATTGTCAAAACAGATTTCACATATTTGTTTTCATAAAAATTTGAGTGATTTTTTTATATACAACATATTCAGATACAAGTTTTTATTGTTTTATCAAATTATGAAATGCCTTCTTCTACAAATGAATATTTTCATGTTTCTGTAGGTACCACAAATATAGTGAAATATGTCAACTGAAAAATTATACCGGCAATAGTATTTCAAAATATGATTGTCATGCAAAGGTTGACCTCCCGCCTGTTTGAAATAAGCAAATAAGCTAAAATAATATAGAAAATACTACAAATTAAACAATACTTTGAAATCTATTACATGTGACAAAGTACATCTACAAGTTTTGACCTATTACATGATTTCAAATTTTCACTTTAATAACCAAATACTCAAAAGTATACACAAACTTTTCTAAGATTTATAAAAATTTTGAAAGCTTGTTTTGAAGTATTTTCTGTAAGCATAACAAAATAAAACATCAGATGCAGGACTGTCCCGGTGTTACCATCTACCTTGATTAAGACAATAAAACTAGAAACTGCAATAAAACCAAATAAAATGCCAACAAAGATCATCATCAGTCCTGCTGCAACATTGTTGGCGATCAGCTTAAGTCCACTTATCATTCCACTGAAATTAAACAGACTCCTCTGTCAAAATGGCATTCAGAAAAGCATCATTATACAAAACAATAAAATTTTATCAACAGAATCATTATTCAAAATATATTATTAATACATAAAATATAGAACATTATTTTTCTTTCCTATACATGTACACTGCATATATAAAAAAAAACATTATTTTATCAAAAACTAGTTTTTATTTATTGAACAGCAACTCATATATCATAAACAGAATATTGTTGTAATTATTCATTTCCACTATATATAACTTCTCTTATATTTAAACGATTTATTATTTCCCGTAATGGTTAACTTTTTTTCCCTTGATCTCAGTTCTTCATTGGCCTCGGTGGCTGAGTGGTCTAAGTAGTTACTACTGTAATCACTAGCCAGTCAACACTGAGGTTGTGAGTTCGAACCCCGCTCATGCGGGTGCACTCGACTCCAATCTTAATTGACTAGGATTGTCAGTTTTCCTATCGAAGGTCGTGGTTTTCTCCGGGCACTCCGGCTTCCTCCACCAATAAAAACTGGCTGCCACGAAATTGCCCAAAAACGGTGCTTAAAAGTTGCGTTAAAACACCAAAAATCAAATCAATCTGAAGTCAAATTTTCTTGCTTTCCTCTTATTTTGCTATTGTGATCTCACGAAAAAAGGTGGCCATGCCTATTGACGTCTCACAAAAAGAACATGATCTTCTTGCATATCATTGAAAAAGGATAAATTTTACCTACACTACATCTTCCAAAAATCATTAGAGAACCTCATACGTTAAAACATTTATCCACTGTCTGCAGCTAAATTTTAGATATTTGTAATGCTCAGCAAGCCTCACATTTTAAATTTCAAATTGAACTGTTGTGAGAGTAGAAATCCCCCATCACACTAAATGCAGTGTTAGAATGTATATTTCTACAATCCATATGAATTATCATGGAACAAGCAAAAATATTCTTCAGATAAATCCACCACCAAAAGACAAATTCAAATAAATAATTCGTAAGGGTTCCGCGGAACCCAGTGTCTCGCCTACTTTTGCTCTTAATCGCAGGCTCAACAAAAATGAGGAAAAAAATTAATAAAAATATTCCTCTTTATACTACCTTTTGATTGTAAGTAGCTTCTGTCCAAGTTTGGTAAAAACCAAGGATAGTTTATGAATCTAATAAATGTTTTAAAAACTTAAACTGCAGACTGTATGTAATGTTAACTGGAAGAAAAACTAAGTCCATTTATAAGTAAAATACGGAAAAAATGGAACAAAATTTTAACAAAATTTCCTTCTAGATACTAGCTTTTAATTATAAACAAGCTTCTGTCCAGGTTTGGTACAAATCCAGGATAGTTTAAGAAAGTTGTTAAAATTTAAAAAAAAAACTTTAACCACAGAGTGAATGTAGTGTAAACTGGCAGAAAAACAAAGTCCATTTATAAGTTTAATACTGATAAACTGGATTTTTTTTACAAAATTTACTTCTGGATACTATCTTATGATCATAAACAAGCTTCTGTCCAAGTTTGGTACAAATCCAGGATAGTTTAAGAAAGTTGTTAAAATTTTAAAAACTTTAACCACAGAGTGAATGTAATGTTAACTGGCAGAAAAACTAAGTCCATTTATAAGTAAAATACGGAAAAATGGAATTTTTTTTTTACAAAATTTACTTCTGGATACTATCTTATGATCATAAACAAGCTTCTGTCCAAGTTTGGTACAAATCCAGGATAGTTTAAGAAAGTTATTAAAATTTCAAAAACTTTAACCACAGAGTGAATGTAATGTTAACTGGCAGAAAAACTAAGTCCATTTATAAGTAAAATACAGCAAAAATGGATTTTTTTTTTACAAAATTTACTTTTGAATATTATCTTATGATCATAAACAAGCTTCTGTCCAAGTTTGGTAGAAATCCAGGATAGTTTAAGAAAGTTATTAAAATTTCAAAAACTTTAACCACAGAGTGAATATTTGAGGACGCCGCCACCACCGACGGAATGTAGGATCGCTATGTCTCGCTTTTTCGACAAAAGTCGTAGGCTCAACAAAAATGAATGGAACCAGAGATACTTATTACAAATCCATCACCATAAAATAAAATTCAAATAAAAAAAATTTGTAAGGGTTTCACAGAACCCAGGGTCTCGCCTACTTTTGCTGTTAGTCGCAGGCTCAACAAAAATGGGAAAATAATTATTAAAAATTTTCCACTAGATACTATCTTTTGAATGTAAGAAGCTTCTGTTCAAGTTTGGTAAGAATCCAGGATGGTTTATGAATCTAATAAATGTTTTAAAAACTTTTAACTGCAGACTGTATGTAATGTTAACTGGAAGAAAAACTAAGTCCATTTATAAGTAATATACGGAAAAACAGGAAATTTTTTTTTACAAAATTTACTTTTTAATACTATCTTATGATCATAAACAAGCTTCTGTCCAAGTATGGTACAAATCCAGGATAGTTTAAGAAAGTTATTAAAATTTGAAAAACTTTAACCACAGAGTGAATGTAATGTTAACTGGCAGAAAAACTAAGTCCATTTAAGAGTAAAATACGGAAAAAACAATTTTTTTTTTTACAAAATTTACTTCTGGATACTATCTTATGATCATAAACAAGTTTCTGTTCAAGTTTGGTAGAAATCCAGGATATTTAAGAAAGTTATTAAAATTGAATAAAATGCTCCGCTGGGCACAGCTTGATACATCCGCAGAGGTCGAACCCTGAACAGTTGGGGCAAGTATGGACACAACATTCAAGCTTGATACAGCACTGAATTTGGATTGTGATTAAATATTTGACACAGCATAAGTTTCTGACACAGAATGAATGTGGTCTAAGAACTTTAAAAAAATTTTATTTACCTATTCAAACCATATCATTATTATTTGTTTTTATATATAAATCAGAAATAACCAATTTAAAAAGGGAAAATTTTAAAGAAAGAAAAAATCCCTCCCCCATATTTTTTTAACCCCCTTATGATTCATCACCCCCAAACTCAATCCCAGCCTTCCCTTTGTGGTATGGTACCTTGCAGTACAGTTTCAGAGAGATCCATACACTTGAACACAAGTTATTGTCTGGAAACTAGAAAAATGCTTGTTTTTAGGCCCTTTTTGGCCCCAAATTCCTAAACATTTAGGACAATTACCCCCAAACTAAAATCCAGCTTTCCCTTTGTGATATGGAACCTTGTAGTACAATTTCAGAAAGATCCATACACTTACACACAAGTTATTGTCATGAAACTAGAAAAATGCTTGTTTTTTTTCCCTTTATGGCCCCTAATTCCTAAAACTTAAAGCAATTACCCCTAAAATCAATCCCAGCCTTCCCTTTGTGGTATGGTACCTTGCAGAACAATTTCAGAGAGATCCATACACTTGAACACAAGTTTTTGTCTGGAAACTAGAAAAATGCTTATATTTTGCCCCTTTTTCCTAAACGTTTTGGGCAATTACCCCCAAACTCAATTCCAGCTTTCCCTTTGTGATATGGAACCTTGTAGTACAATTTCAGAAAGATCCATACACTTACACACAAGTTATTATCATGAAATTAGAAAAATGCTTGTTTTTTTTGCCCCCTTTTTGGCCCCTTATTCCTAAACGTTTTGGGCAATTACCCCCAAACTCAATTCCAGCTTTCCCTTTGTGATATGGAACCTTGTAGTACAATTTCAGAAAGATCCATACACTTACACACAAGTTATTATCATGAAACTAGAAAATGCTTGTTTATTGCCCCTTTTTTGGCCCCTAATTCCTAAAATTTTGAGGCAATTACCCCCAAAATCAATCCCAGCATTCCTTTTATGATATGGAACCTTGTGGTACAATGTCAGAGAGATCCGTACACTAACACACAAGTTATGTCTGGAAGTTACAAAAATGCTTATTTTTGGCCCCTTTTTCCTTAACTGTTGGTACCATAACCCCCAAAATCAATCCCAACCTTCCTTTTGTGGTATAGAACCTTATGGTAAAATTTCATAGAGACCCATTCATTTAAACTAAAGTTAGAGTGCAAAAACCAATGTGTCTTCGGAAGACAACGACGACGACGCCAACGTCATACCAATATACGACCACAAAATTTGTTTGCGGTCGTATAAAAACTTTAACCACAGAGTGAATATTTGTGGACGCTTCCGACGGAATGTAGGATCGCTATGTCTCGCTTTTGCAACAAAAGTCGCAGGCTCGACAAAAAGCAGAAGTTAACCCTCAAATGAATACCTAAATTTTCCTAGTTTTGCCGCCGTTTAAAAAAAATAATTAGGTCTTTCCACTTTTCAGACCTATTGTATTTGTTCTGATTATTGTTCACTGTTCAATGGAAAGACCTTTTGATTTTGTTCTGATTATTTTTAATTTTTTTTTCTTTTGCCTAATTTTTTTTTCTTTTGCTTAGGGTGACATATGACCTTGAAAAATGTCAACAGGAAGTGACCTTGAGCGAACCGGAAGTAGTCATTTTTGCACTTATTTCATGGAAAAGTACCTAGAAACCATATATTTTTTTGAATGGGCATACATTAACCAATCATTTGAGACCAGAAGTGACATTTTATAAACTGGAAATAGCATACTAGCTACCTTATTACAGGCATAAGTATATACAAACTAAATATTTTTGGAATCAGTGTGAATAAAGCTATCATACGAGACTGGAAGTGACATTTTCTCAACTGGAAGTAGCCAATTAACTCCCTTTTTACAGGCAAAAGTATATATAAACCATATATTTTTGGAATCAGTGTAAATAAAGCTATCATACGAGACTGGAAGTGACATTTTCTAAACTGGAAGTTGGTAATTATCTCCCTTATTTCAGGCAAAAGTATATAGAAACCATATATTTATTGAGTCTGTATGAAGAAACCTATCATTGGATGCCAATAGTAACTTTGAGTAAAACACAAGTAGCTTATCAATTATTTAGAAAATTGATGTGGAAAGACCTTCAATTGTTCTTTGAACAATTGGTTTTTTACTGTATATATGTTTTTTCAAATCCATAAAAAAAACCAGTTGGAATAAGCATCCATCTGCATTTTATGTTGCTTTACAATCTTGCATGTCATTTAATCTTTCAGTCAATTTGTTGTTTTAAAATATGCAAAACATTAAAAAACTGAGAATTTAAACAATCATCTCTGCAATATAATTTTTCAAATATTTTATATCATTATATGTACAGACATATTTTAAGAGACATCAGAATTATATACTTATTCATGAATCAAAGAATATGTCACATGGGCGGTGCAGATAATCATTTCTTACTGCAAATCAACCAGTCTTCACAGTATTTTCAGATATATTAAGGTAACAAGACAGTAATTTCTAAATTTTTTTCTCAGACTGAATGATCTTAATAATCTCCTTTGAATTTCAGTTGCTTCATTTATCAAAATGGTGTTAGCTTCTATTTTATCTGTCCGAATAATAAAATTTTCAACAACAATAAATATGGTGACATTTATTTTTAAAATTAAATAAAATCTTAACTGTATACAAAATTAAACTGTCCTTCAAGAAAGAAACAGATGAAGAAAATGAATAGTTCAAACTTATCACAAGAAACTTTTAAAATATAATATTATTTCATAATAAATCATGCTTAAACTGTGCAAATAAATGTTTCCAACATGAAAAGCAATTTTTTAACCTTATTGTACAAGTCTTGTAAGCATATATATATTTTTTTTGGTTAATCAGAACTTATTTTGTGTTTTGCATTTATATTGAAGGTTGAAAAACCTGCAAAAGGTTTGTGCGACTATACCAATGACTGTTCCACAGAAACATTTAAGGTATCCAGGCAAGGCACTTTTAAAATGGTGTAGCCACCTACTAAGGCAACTTTTGAATTTCACTCACATTTTCACCATAAAAAATAAAAGAAGAATGTGTCCAAGGACATGTTCCAAGTCATAGGAGGACATAACTCTTTAAACCATTAAATTACTTACTGCCCAAATTCGAAGTCTGTCTGTGTGTTGTGGTTCTTAGCATTGTATATGAGTTCATAAAATTTGCACGAGTAAAACTTAAGTTAGATTGTGGAAACTAAAAATTTGTAATTTTCCAAGTTATAAAGGGGCATCTAGAAAGGTAAGTAAATCACTGCCCAAATTTAAACTCTGTGAGTTTTGGTTCTTAGCATTGTGTATGAGTTTCATAAAATTTGGATGAGAAAAATTTTGTTAGAGTGCAGAAACCAAAAATGGGATTCATGGAAGGACAGACCGACAGTCAAGGGCAACACTTTATGTTTCCTCGCCTAGCGGCGGGGGCATAAAAAAAGGTTGACAAATTTTCACAGTTCAGATTCAATGATGCCTTCCATGGGTCCACTGTATGTTTTCATAGAACAGTCCTTAAAAAACTTATGCTTTGGTTAAGGTTACCATTGAGGTAATGCTAAAATGTGGTCTCAGTGGTTGTGTGTATGGGTGAGACAAGTGCTTGGTTGGTAATTAAATACTTACACTGTGACATCAGTTATTCCTAATGCTTGCACTATACACACAAGAAATTGGAAGAAGAAAATGAAGAAAAAAATAAAAAAGTTGAAGGAACTATCACTCCTGAAAACAAAAAGAAAAAAAATCATGCAATAATCTTAAAACAACAAACAAAATATGACATACTTACACAGAAATAGTAGAAATTCCTAAAGCCTGGATTATACACACAAGGAATTGGAAAAAGAATATGAAGAAAAATACAAAGAAGTTGAACGAGCTATCACTCCTGCAATAAAAAACATCATAAGTCCATTAGGGTTGTATCAATGATACCTATATGCATTTAGTATAATTTTTTGTCTTCTGAAAGCTGCAATATGCAGTAGAGAATACATGTATGTTCCAGGAGTTCTCATCACCTTATTGTAATTTTTTTCTAAAAGTATTGAAATTGTCTTCTTTGGGTGTAATGATTCAGGATATTTTAAAATTTGTTGATACAGATTTGATGGTCACAAATGGAGTTAACTAGTGACCCAGAAAACAGATATTCAGGACAATCAATTCAGAGTTTGATGCCGGTAAAATGGCTGTAGGTCTTCAAATACAATACTCATATCTCAATTCTAATCAAACAAAATGATAAAAAAACATATTAAATTGCACATTTTTAAAATCATTTACATGACGTCCTTGCTTGCATCAAGGGAGGTACTGATGCCCTGAAATTTGTGGCATTATCAAATCAAAATGAAGATGACAAACAGTCATGCATTAGAATTAATAATATGCGACTTCACTCTATCCTTATTTTTATTACAGATTTAACATCAAAGATAATATACATTTTGAATTTCATGTAATGGTCTTTACTTGTTTTATTGATAGTTAATATTTACATCAGGTAGGGAGACATGTCTTCCAGCAGACAGTTCCCTTGTGAACTAGCAAGTTAAATTTCCATCTAAGCGTGTTGTACTTGTTTAAAGCAGGGTTCACCTTCAAATTGCATTAAAATGTTCTCGTCCTAAACATGCATTTAATTTGCAACTGGATGTTTAACAGCCATGCCTCATATTCATGTGAGGTTAAAATGTGAAAATTGGATTATATTGGATAGTTGATAGGATTATTTTCTAGTATCACATTTGTTTTTTTAGGTGCCTTTACCTCCTATTCTTTCTATTCTAATAAAGAGTTTGCTCAATTTTCCTTGCACATAACATTTTCGGTAACTTAACAAAACTAGTATGTTTTAAAGGCAGATTATTGTAATGTTTCTATCTTGTAACAATCTTACCTGAAAGCTTTGTAGACAGGTCTATACCAGCATAAGAAAGAACATGGTGTAAATAAGACGAACCAAACAATTGATAATCCAAACGTTACTCCTCCATCACCATCCACAATGAAAAAAGCTAAACTAGCCAAGACATTAAGAAGTAGAACTAAAACATAAACTGAAAGAAAAAGAAATCTTATTAGATTGATAAGTCAGAATTCAGCTGTATTATATTGGAAAAATTCAATTTCAACAATTTTTGCATTTCCTTTCAAAATTCTTTATAGCATTCATTTGAATTTTATACACCTTATTTTATTTATTAAATAAATGCACTGAAGAAGGACGATGACTAAATTCATTAAAATACATATTTTATCAATCTTATAAATATTCAGATTACTATTTACTGTGATATTATGCTTTCTGTTATAACAGCTGACCACATTTAAAAATATAAAATCATTTCATTTCAAGCAAGCATAAAGTAGGATGAAAATTGTCATATTTACTCGAAATAGTATAAATATTTCAAACTGCTGAAAATTTTCATATTCAATAGGTATAGTTTAAAACTGTTTACATGAAAAAACTGCACCACAAATTTGAATATAAGTTGAATTATACAATTCAAATATAAAGTAAATCCTTAATGCTACAAAAAAATATAACAGGTACATGTATCACCAAAAATACCGGAATTCAACCCTATACAATCAACTGTAGGTTTTGTTCTAAAACTTAGTAAATTTTTCATTCAACAGAGTGAGACTGCTATAAAATTAAAGATGTTTATTTAACTGACTTCACAGAGATTATATTTACTGGTGCTTAAATTATCATTAGGATTTTATCCAGTTGAATGCAATGTACTGTAAATACTTATTTTTCTTCTAAGGTAATTTTTTTGTAATAAAATAACAATATAAACTTACACCACCATAAGTAGTATACAAATTTTACAGTCCTCTGGAATTCTAAAGGAATATCAACACTAAAATCTTGATAAAAACATGGACCAACAGGACAAAATCCAGGTAATGGTGGCCAGTTGTTCTGTCGATCTGGATAAAAAAGATACATATACATGATACAATGAACTCTTGATAAAAACATGGACCAACAGGACAAAATCCATGTAATGGTGGCCAGTTGTTCTGTCGATCTTGATATAAAAGATACATATACATTATACAATCAACTCTTGATAAAAACATGGACCAACAGAACAAAATCCAGGTAATGGTGGCCAGTTGTTCTGTCGATCTGGATAAAAAAGATACATATACATGATACAATGAACTCTTGATAAAAACATGGACCAACAGGACAAAATCCAGGTAATGGTGGCCAGTTGTTCTGTCGATCTTGATATAAAAGATACATATACATTATACAATGAACTCTTGATAAAAACATGGACCAACAGAACAAAATCCAGGTAATGGTGGCCAGTTGTTCTGTCGATCTGGATAAAAAAGATACATATACATGATACAATGAACTCTTGATAAAAACATAGACCAACAGGACAAAATCCAGGTAATGGTGGCCAGTTGTTCTGTCGATCTGGATAAAAAAGATACATATACATGATACAATGAACTCTTGATAAAAACATAGACCAACAGGACAAAATCCAGGTAATGGTGGCCAGTTGTTCTGTCGATCTGGATAAAAAAGATACATATACATGATACAATGAACTTGATTCTAGAATAACCATTGCTAATTTTGAGAACACACTTTTAGTCCCAGTAATAAAAACTTTCAACGTGATTATCTTTACAAACATAATTCCACTATGACAGGAACAGATATGATAATTCCTCGACTTTAAGTGTAAATATACATTCTATTTACTGTAACTTCTTTATAGCTACATTTTAACTGCCTGTTATTATACATGTACAAAAATTTCTAAATTTTAATAAAAATATATATGCTGCTTGAAAACTTACTACCTCACTTGGAAAATAAGTTCCAACAAAAAGACATACCATTATACTGCATGTTCCTCATTTCTCTTTCTTTTCTTGATAATTCTTCTGCTTTTCTCTCTAATTCCTAATAAAGATATCAACATAAATTCCTAATAGAGATATCAACATAAATTCCTAATAAAGATATCAACATAAATTCCTAATAAAGATATCAACATAAATCAAAACTATCATATACTAGGTGCATCTTTAATTATCTTATTAAACTTGTATAACAGGTCATATGACTCAAAACCACTCTCTTTAATGATTTTTTTTAAGCTAGCAATTTTGGCTTATTCACTTTCAAAATTTTAGTAAACGTCAGCAATACATGAAAGTCACATGTACAAAAAAATGGAATAGGGTGGAAAATAAGACAAACAAATACATGTGTCCATATGACAACATGCACAGCAAAGCTTCTATTGTTGAAAGAAGTCAGAGATAAAAAAATCATAGTAACAATCATCCTTACACGTTGAAAATATGCAGTGAAAATGACCGAAGGTGCCTTTTACTCATGTACATGTTGTTGGTCCTTGGATGGGAACATGGAAAATCCTCTTGAAACCTAACTTCTGAGGATGATTGTAGCAAAACTCGGTTTAAATAAGTGCAACAAATTCAAAGGAGATTTAAACCCAACCTAAACAGGTGTTAAATAATTTTCTTCCATCTTCAATTCAATTTGAATTTTACTTAGAACCATTCAAACAACTATTGAGGACAATTGCAATTCTATGGTGAAACAGGTAAAAAATCCAAAAGGCGAGTACTGTATATACATTTCTTCCATTTACCATGGGTATTTAAAAAAAAAATTTTGAAAAATTAAAATAAAACGAACCCGTTATTTGAACAAATATATAACCCCCATTTAAATTTTGTGTAAGAACGTTTTGACTTCGTACTGGTATAAATGAATAAGAAACTTAACTTTAAAAGTCTGCATGTTGATCTCTAGATCTCTTATGGACATTTGTGCTGTTGGCATATACCCAACATTTCTTTTTAATAACTTTCATAATTTCCCTCTTAAAGTATAACAACATACATGACATAGTAAACATTAAAAATAAAATGCTTCGCTGAGGCGCAGCTTGATACGACTGCAGAGGTCGAACCCTGAACAGTTAGGGCAAGTATGGACACAACATTCAAGCTTGATACAGCAATGAATTTGGATTGTAATTAAATATTTGATACAGCATAGGTTTCTGACACAGAATGAAAGTGGTCTAAGAACTAAAAAAATTTTAATTTACCTATTCAAACCATATCATTATTATTTGCTTTTATATATAAATCAGAAATAACCAATTTAAAATGGAAAATTTTAAAGAAAAAAAAATCCCCCCCCCAAATTTTTGAACCCCCTTATGATTCATCACCCCAAACTCAATCCCAGCCTTCCCTTTGTGGTATGGTACTTTGCAGTACAATTTCAGAGAGATCCATACACTTGAACACAAGTTATTGTCTGGAAACTAGAAAAATGCTTGTTTTTTGGCCCCTTTTTGGCCCCAAATTCCTAAACGTTTAGGGCAATTACCTCCAAACTCAAACCCAGCTTTCCCTTTGTGATATGGAACCTTGCAGTACAATTTCATAAAGATCCATACACTTACACACAAGTTATTGTCCTGAAACTAGAAAAATGCTTGTTTTTTTGCCCTTTTATGGCCCCTCATTACTAAAATTTTGAGGGAATTACCCCCAAAATCAATCCCAGCCTTCCCTTTGTGGTATGGTACCTTGCAGTACAATTTCAGAGAGATCCATACACTTGAACACAAGTTATTGTCTGGAAACTAGAAAAATGCTTAGTTTTGGCCCCGTTTTGGCCCCTTTTCCTAAAATTTGGAAGCAATTACCCCCAAAATCAATCCCAGCATTCCCTTTGTGATATGGAACCTTGTGATACAATGTCAGAGAGATCCATACACTTACACACAAGTTATTGTCATGAAACTAGAAAAATGCTCGTTTTATGCCCCTTTTTGGCCCCTTATTCCTAAAATTTGGAGGCAATTACCCCCAAAATCAATCCCAGCATTCCCTTTGTGATATGGAACCTTGTGGTACACTGTCAGAGAGATCCATACACTTAAACACAAGTTATGTCTGGAAGTTACAAAAATGCTTATTTTTGGCCCCTAATTCCTTAACTGTTGGTACCATAACCCCCAAAATCAATCCCCACCTTCCTTTTGTGGTATTGAACCTTATGGTAAAATTTCATAGAGATCCATTCACTTAAACTAAAGTTAGAGTGCGAAAACTAATGTGTCTTCGGACGACGACGACGCCAACGTCATACCAATATACGACCACAAAAAATTTTTTGCGGTCGTATAAAAAGGGGGAGTCCTTACATATATTTGTTAAAAGTAACTTTTGATTTAATACTCGTATTCATTATGTTAAACTTCTCCATTATATCAAACAACATATTCTACCAACCTCTTGTCTTTTCTGTAGATCTGATGTATCAATTTTCTGTGCCCCTGAGGCAGCATAGGGTGGAGGTTCTTCTGATGGTTGCATTATAGCGGGCTGTGTAGCTGGTTGTGGGGGAGGTACTGAGCCACGTCCAGCTCCCTGGAAATTAGGAAACAAAATTGATGTAGACATTTTTAGAGCATGTACATGTATGTAAGAATCAAGTAATGAGGTAAAATTATTTATTATGAATGTAGCCTTTAACTCCGGAACAATTAAATTGAAATTTGAAGGAAAGTTGTGAGGATCACTTACCTGTAAAAAATTCCCACCTATGAATGTGATACATGTTTATAAAGAAAAAACTTAAACATGTGTATACAAAATCTCTTCTTGGAAGCCTCCTATAAATGTTGAATGCACTGACAACTTGACATATTATATTATTCAGAACAAACTACAATGCAAATGTTCAGCTATCAGTTGTTATAAATACATGTATCTATAAATATAATGTATTTTGAACATTTAAATTTTTCACATACAGACTCGACTTGCTATTGCAAATGACACATTGAAATCATATATGGCACTCCTTAATAAATAAGACTCTTTATACCAAAATTTACTAATACATGTGTGAAAAAACCCTTAAAATGCAGAATTATCTTAGAGCTATTCCAGAAAAAAGATGCATAAAGGTTTGGTTGGTGGATGTTTCACTCATAGCCACTATACTATGTTATTATCTGACTATTAATATAATGTAATTCAAAAAATGAAAACAACATGTTATAAATTTCATGTATCTGAAGCGTTTTTCTGCATTTACCTTCATCAGGAACGCTCAAAGCCGATATTTAACTGGCCAAATTTATACAGTATTCACTTTTCTGCTTTCCAAAAAATCCCTTTAAACCTTTACATTTTTTGTTGTTGCATTCCATTACTCCTACCACACACATATTTTTTTTTTCTGGAATAGTCCTAAGACATAAAAGTGATTTCTACCCCATTGGCTTTTTTTATTGCTTATGACAGTCCTTTAAAAGTGAAGGTTTAAAGCAGGGATCTTAAAGAGAGTGCATGTTTAACATGTGTAATTTTATTTATAACAAAAGCATGTAAATTAAAATATATTCATAAGGGATTTTGGTGTGCTTCATCTAAAAAAGGTAAAAGTCAGGGACTTTGGCATATATTTACATCTAACAGTGGCTGCTCAGTCATTGACTACAAATTATAAATAGAACATTATCAATTTATACAATTTTAATCCTTACAAAATGTAAACCTAGATTACATGTATGTTATCTTCTTCCAATGTACTATTTATGTAAATTTGTTTGTTAGGTTATATTTAAATGCAGATGGTGACTTTGTTACACTATTGCACAATGCACTATTTTAACTAATAACCAAACTAATCCAAATGATATGGGAAAAAAGATAAACCCCTTTTATCAGGATATAAATCATTTCCAAAATACCAACTGTCCAAACGACCATTATCATTAATGATTATAAAAATGATGTATACATATACATCTAGACAGTATATGTATACATTTACCACAAAAAGCAACTCTTAGGAAGAAAAGCATGAATGGGGTTAAGATCTATGGGTACATGGTATTTACCTAATAACAGTCAGATCCATGCAGAGTTGCTGTTCCTTAAGCTGTGTGAGATGTATATCTAAAATACTCTGATAACTGAGACAAGTCAATTCAGAATGGGCACTTTTAATGTTGAGGAATGCTATATTCCATGAACTCAAAATCCTTGCAATAACTCTTATGGGGCTAATTATACTACTGACCAGCTGTTGCAAAGGCAAATCAATTTGCTCCTCTAACACCAACATGTCAGTTCATCCAGAGCTCAGAGGCAGTCCAAATTTATCTCCTAGCATTTCCTTGACCCACAATGAAAATTTTTACATATTTAAATGTTGAATTTTGACTGATTCTGATAATGTGTGAAATATATAAACATTATTTTAATTCAGTTTTCTCTAGCATAATCAAACTATGTTGATACCAAACATTTCAAATCCATCTAAATTTGACCTGAAATTAAACTTACTCCTGCTGCTGGACGGGTTTTATTACCATCCTCAAATGGATTGTACTCATCCATTGTACCCTGGTTTGTACCAACATTTCCACCAGTAGCTTGACGTACAGAAGGATCCTGTAATATAAAGCAAACATTATAGAGAAAATAAAATGCTTTGCTGAGCGCAGCTGGATACGACCGCAGAGGTCCAACCCTGAACAGTTGGGCAAAAATGGACACAATATTCGCGCTTGATACAGGTCTGAATTTGGATTGTAATTAAATATTTGACAAATAATAGGTTTCTGACACAGAATAACTGTAGTCAAAGAACTTAGAATTGGGAATATGATTTGAATTTATATTCAATATTTTTGCTTTTGTGCAATACACTATGCTGTTGCGAATTGCCCACCCCCCCTTTAAATTTCTGAAATCAGAAATGAGAAAAGATTGCCCCCCTTCCCTAATTTCTTTTTTACTCCCCCCTCCCCACCCCTTTTTCCAAAAAAAAAAATTCTTTCCCTCAAGACATGCAAGATATGGTCATTATCTCAATTCAAATTTCCAATAGAGTTTGCAACCATAATTACCAATTTAAATACATCATAAAAGTCTTAAAATAGAAAATTACATACATAATCATGGCTAAAATTAATATTCCTTCATTAATAACTTCTAAAAATAAATTGACAGTTAATCACCTCAAGACAATACAAAATTTCTTTATAGATAATTTAAAAGAAGGGTAAAGGAGGTAAATCCAAACATACACAACATTGTACTTTAAATGTTTGGATTACCTCCCTTACACTGCTTTTAAATTGTCCCAGGAAACCTTTGTTTTCCCCCCTTTTCTGCCCCTATTTCCTAAAAGGTTTGAGTCATAACCCCCCAAAGTCAATCCTAACCATCCCTTTGTGGTATGGAAACTTGTGGTATAATTTCAGAGAGATTCATACACCGTTCCACAAGTTATTGTCTGGAAACTAGAAAAATGCTTATTTGGGCCCTTTTTTGGCCCCTAATTCCTAAACTGTTAGGTTTAACCCCCAAAATCAATCCCAACTTTCCTTATGTGGTTATTAACCTTGTGTTTAAATTTCATAGATTTCTATTTAATTATACTAAAGTTATTGTCCGGAAACCAAATGTCTTCGGACGACGACCACGTGATACCTATATATACTACCGCAAAATTTTTTGCGGTCGTATAAAAACATCACAGAGAAAGCATGTATCTGTGTTCATTTTCTGGCAAGTGGTCAGTATTATTCAAATTGTTATAAATTTAAAAGCTTTGTAAGACTTGAGGAATTGTTCTGTCAGATGATATAGGATACCACATGATCAAGGCATTGTAAATTTGAGACAAGAGTACACATGTTTGTTTGTCTTATAAAAATAAGGAGATGTGGTATGATTGCCAATGAGACAACTACATGTATCTACTAAAGTTAAACATGCTTGTCTTGATTGCTTTACTGGTCATGAATAAATTTATGTTGAAAGTCTTTAAGATAAAGGTTTACTACAAGTTAGTATCACATAAACTTAACATTATCAATGATCCATGTAAAACTAAAAGAGTTCCAGGTAGTTGAACCATTAAACATGAAACTTAACAGTGACCAATCAAGCAGAAAAAGGAGTCCAAGGTCAGATAGATCCTGTCAGGTGGACATTGCAAGTACATCTTACATTGGCTTACAATAATTAAATACACCAAATATAATTGATCTATTGTATATCATATAGGAGATATGAACTTGACCACACAACTTAACCTTGATAACTTATCCATGACAAGGGGTCAAGGTCAGGTGAACCATGTTTGACAAACATGTAGACCCTGTAAGGATTCCATATACCAACAAGAGGCTGTCAGAGTGACAGCAAACCGTATTTTCCTGCAGAGGTCGAACCCTGAACAGTTGAGCAAGTATGGACACAACATTTAAGCTTAAAACAGCTCTGAATTTAGATTGTGATTGAATATTTGACACAAAATGAATGTGGTCAAAGAACTGAAAAATTTGAAACTGGACATTTACCTATCATGGTCCAATATCCAAAATCTAAGTACATTGTTAGAATCTGCATATCAAAGAACCCCAAGAATTCAATTTTTGATGAAATCAAACAAAAGTTTAATTTAGGACCCTTTGGACCTCAATGTGGACCAATTTGATAAAGGAGCCCAAAATCCAAAATCTCTAAATAAATGGTTTGATTCAGCATTTCAAAGAATCCATAAATTCAATTTTTGTCGAAATCAAACAAAGTTTAATTTTGGACCAACTTGAAAACTGGGCCCAAAAATCCAAATTTAAATACAGGTAAAACCGTTTAAATTCAGCATTTGAAAGAACCCTATATATATTCAATTAATGTTGAAATGAAACACAGTTTAATTTTGGACCTTGATTTGGACCAACTTGAAAACTGGGCCCAAAATCAAAAATTAATCTGTCATTCCAATTATAATTTTGTTAGTTGATAATTACCACATGTTTGTTATCTTGATAAAAGGTGAAAATTATTGCATGAAAAAATTATGTAAATACATTGTCCTAATCCAAATACATGTACAAATGTGTATATTTAGTTAATTGTAAAAATCTATTATACAAATTGTGTGTAGTTTTATAGGATGAATAAAAATAAATTATTATCTAATGAAAATGATATTTGCAAAACTGTACCCCCAAACAGGATCAAGTAAAATATATTTGCAAATCTGGACCCCCAAACAGGAACAAGTAAAAATTAAACCATTGTTCCAGCTAGGATTTCAAAAGGGCAGGGAGCCAATCATGAAAAGGGCACTTTAGCATGCGGATTGATAATTCAATAAAATCCTTCGCTGAGCGCAGCCTGATACGACCGCAGAGGTCAAACCCTGAACAGTTGGGGCAAATTTGGATATAATATTCAAGCTTGATACTGTCTGAATTTTGATTGTAATCAAATTTTTGACATAATATCGGTTTCTGACACAAAATAAATGTGGTAAAAGATCTTACAAATCTATTGCCTATACTGTGCAATTGAAGATTACTTCTTGAAACTTTTACAAAATTTGAAAATTTTTGAAAAAATATGAATTCCTTAAAAAAATTGGACCCCAGCGCCTTTTGGAATCCCCCCTTAGAGCAATTACTCCAAGACTTGATCCAATTCTTTCTTTTGTAGTTTGGAACCTTGTAGTACAATTTCAGAGAGATCCATACACACCTAACACAAGTTATTGTTTGGAAACTAGAATAATTCATGTTTTTGGCCCTTTCATGGCCCCTAATTCCTACGTTTGAGGAAAGTACCCCCAAACTCAATCCCAGCCTTCCCTTTGTGATATGGAACCTTATGGTACAATATCAGAGAGATCCATACACTTACACACAAGTTATTGTCCGGAAACTACAAAAATTGTTGTTTTTGCCCCCTTTTAGGCCCTTAATTCCTAAACTGTTTGCCCCATAACCCCTAATATGAATCCCAACCTTCTACTTGTGGTATTAAACATTGTTGTACAATTTCAGAGCAATCAAATTACTTATACACAAGTTATTATCCTGAAACTAGAAAAATGTTTGTTTTGGACCCCTAATTCCTTAACGGTTGGGACCATCATCCCCAAAATCAATCCCAACTTTTGTGGTATTGAACCTTCTTAAAAAATTTCATAGAGATCCATTAATTTAAACTAAAGTTATTGTCTGGAAACCAATGTGTCTTCGGACGACGACACGGACGACGCAGACATCATACCATTATACGATCCCAAAATATTTGTTGCGGTCTTATAAAAAGGGCATGACAAACATTGTCTTATGTAAACAGCAGGGGTTTCAGCTAGGAGTTTTGAGGGCTTTAGTCACTTTTACGTGAGATGAAAATCAGCCTTATTTTGGGTAACAGTAAGGGACCAAGGACGTATATTACTAGCTATACATATGCCTAAGGCCAGGATCAGGATCTTTGAAGACCTTAAGCATGCTACAAATGTAGGCAGTCATGGCATGACTTGACTGGTGTGATGCATAAATAAAAGATTAGAACGAGGATCCGCAAATTTGGTTCACAATTTCAGTTATTTTTACAGGACATCCTAATCACCAAAAGTTGGGTTCCTCTTTTTTAAAACCAGGTATCACAGTATAAATGAAATTGTTACGAATATTACACTGCATTATCACTATCCCTGTAAAAACGTTGAAATCAATATTTGGAATTTATTTTTATAAACTTTGAACGATTAAAATGACTGTCTATTTTAAATTTATCAAGAGTAGATCACGTTTACTTTCGATTTTTAAACGAAATGAAAACAGGAAGTGACAAGTAGATAATAAATTTAGAATGAATCCGGATTCATGACATCTACAGATTGGTTTGTGTTTAACAAAAAGGCAGGAAATTATCAAGTTGCTCAGTAGAAATATATTTGTCTCTCTCATTTAATTTGATACTAAATGATTTCGTATTTTACGTTTTAGTGTCTATTAAATTTATAAAAATACGGTCACGCATGCGCAGTACATGATAAAGAAAGCACATGTTTGACTCTTGAAAATATTTGCGATTGTTTTGAATGTAACGAAAATACGTTCAAATGACGAAACTATGTCATCCAACCTGCACTAAGTGATCGTATGAGAAATTTTGAAATTAAAATGTGAACGCTCCGGGGATAAACAATTTTGACTTTTTGTTCAACTGACGAATCTATTTCTAGTTTCAGGATAATAACTTGTGTAAAAGTATAAAAACATCAATGGATAAACATGGTAAACGAACTGCAAATTGTGGTCTTACAGGGCTCACACTACTTCAGAATCATAGGGAGAAGTGACTTCTCTTTTTGAAACTGATAGGGAGAAGTGGTGAGATTTGAAAGAGAAGTGCTCCTTCGCGTGCTGCGCTACTATGTTTTGATTTTACTATAGTATAAAGGGTCATATGTAAATAATGTTCTTTTTATATTGTTCAATTCATGTCTGAGTATACAATTAAATTAACAGTTCAAATTCAAAGTTGTTTAAGTTTAGGTTCTTGTGAGAAACTACCAACTAAATATCTAGCACTAAAAAGAATTTTTTTTATGTCAAAAAGGAAAAGAAATTATAATATATGAATTACAATTCAATTAAAAACTATCTTGTTTATCATGTTTATGAAATTCAGTGTTTCTCATCAAAAGATATACAAAGTTAAGCTGGGCCATAATATATTGATATTAGTAGTTAAGCAACTTTAATCAATATTTTGAAACAATCCATATAAATTATATGGAATTATATACATTAATCAATTAGATCTAACCAAAAGTCTGTTAATGCGTGTGGAATGCGTAATTTTTCCTTTTGTCAGCTGTTCCATTCATGCGTCTGTAGTTATTATTGTAAAAATACGGATTTCGGTCATAGCTGGTCCGGTTCCGATCCATAGTTAGTAAACGGTTAATGGCGGACGAAGAAAATTTAAAAAAATAAACGATGTTTGACAAGCTATTTGGAAAGGAATATGACGTTTTTAATGCAATAAATGGATTAAACATTTACTGGAGGCAACTTTTATCACTTTCAAATGAAGTAACAAACTTATTTTGCCGCCGAAAGTTAGATTGATGTACGCTCTCTGAGTAACAAGTACCGGAAGTGCATGCAGTGATAAAAAGTTGTCTTTTTATTAAATAACCTGCTACACACTGTAAAGTCAATGCTTAAAACTCTTTTCTTAAGAAAATGAATCGTTTATGTCTAAATTTCTTTAATAATCAATAAAAAATTGATGTTTTATCAACTTGGTAAAAATTGAAAATGTCCGATGACGAAAGCGATTATCGTAAACAACAGGGCGACTTGTTTTCGCTTTTGAGGGTCAGGCAAAGCGAAGTGTCAGATGGGAAAGCGACTTCTTCGCCCTAGTCGCCTGGTAGCGTGAGCCCTGGTCTTATTAGAAATATTGAAATTGAAATGCTGACTGACCGATTTTACTTTGAAAAATAATTATAATGGTCAATTATGATGTTTGATTACTGATTAGTGACCAATCCGATGGCAATAAGTGGATTACCTGTAATCACAACTTATAACACCTGCTATTAATGTTAATTAGCCGAGGGTCATAAACTTGTCAGAAACATGAAGACAGGTAGAATTATAGTATTTTCATCAAAATATTACGACAATAAAGTCATGGACATGCGAAAAGGGCATGGTGTCAGAAAAAGGGCACAGGGTGGCAGTCGGGAAAGGGTGAGCAGACCGCCCTTTGAAAACGATCAAGCTGACCTCGGAGAAAAAATTACCCTGCCCTTTTTAAAAGCTGTCGGAAACACTATCGTAGTATCGATGGTTATTATCTGGCAAAGGCTGTAAAGTCTTTGGTTATCTATCTATCTTTCCGTCCAGGAGTGGACTAATTTTGAGTGTAGATACTCTAGCATGATGAACAGCTAAATACTTCAAAGTATGTACAGTTAAAATAAAGTATGTATGTACAGTTAAAATGTAAGGTGTTCTTTATTACTATTACTAGTATTAGTTGTGAAGTAGTGTCACCGTTCACTGTGTTTGTGAAATCAGTTTATAAAAAGCCAGTCGTGCAAGACTTTGAAATTATGATATAACAACAAGATGTCTTCACAGATTACAAAGAATAATGTTAAACCCTATAAAGTAAAAAATGTAAATAGGGGATGTGTGTGCTTTCTGTTTTCCGGTGTGTTGGCATAGAATTTCTGTCAAAACGACTTACGGAAAATGGATTTGCCTGTGCTTCTGGATCAGCGAATGGATTACTGTCAAAATCTGACATTTTCGCAGTATCTGTTCTTTACTTTAATTGCCAAATGAGATTGCTATACGGATGTCATCTGCGAAAGATTTACTTTATTTACAGGTGGAAAATTATAATGGCCGATTGACAGCTTCCGTGAAACATGCGCACTTGTCACTATCACATGAAATATGACGTCATCCGGTACATTTATATTACACTGTTCCATGTGATTTTGAGTGGCTTTAATAAATTATAGACAACAAAAGTCGTACTGTAATAACAAAACAAAAATAAACAAATAATTCATGAGGGTCTGGATGGGAGATCTTTAATTGTGCAATCTCTAGTAAAAAATAACTCTGATCAAGGATTTGTATAGTTATACAAATCCTTTGCTCTGATTCAAACAAAAAATGCTCTCAAACTGACATTATCAAGATGCTTGATTTCTCGATTGACAACTTCTTCTTCTTCTTTATGTAGATCCCTCCAGCGTTGGAGCACACACAGCTAGCTGTGTTCCCTTAACGGATTAGTTTTTAAAATGTTAACATATTCACAATTTATTCCAAATTTAAAATGTTGTAAAGAAATCCTCCACCATAACGTTGCACATGCACAAAATTTATTTACTGGCAGAAATGTACATATTATATACACGGATAACCCATACGTTGTCCAGGATGCAGGTTCGATGATAAAAGCAATGTCTAGCTTAATAAAATCAATGAACTATTTTGGCTGTTGAATTTACTGGATAGAGTTTATGTTTTAAAAGTCATCATTCATATGAAAGCCTAGTAGACCAAGCCTAAAAAACTATGCATTCCGAAGATGTTACGGACGGATATTTTCTAGATAATGTTAATAAGCAATAATATATTTTTGCGTTATAAAAGTTAGTTCTACATTGTACTCAGATTTAAACAGACTAGCTATACACACATTCAGGCTTATATATATGTTGTATATTAGAGGTAAGCAAGCAGATATTAATGCTGCGGATAGTTAAGCATCATAGATCACACTAAAGTTTTTAACGGCAACTATTTTGCTATTTATAATATATATCACATAGACACATGGTGGTAAATATTGTCATTGGTGTCTTTATGGGGAGCTGTGAGACCCAGGGAAGCCTGTTATATCTCGGCGGATAATCTCTTTTTGTGAATTTCATAGCAGTATTATTCTGGACATATTTTCAATCTTTCCAAGAATTTCTGTGTTGTTCGGTATAATGTCCAGACTGGGAACAATATATATGTTCCTGGTCCAGATTTGCAAAATTCTGGCAGTCTACTATAAGTGTACATATTGCATCACGATTACTGAAGTGAGTTGCCCATTTTGTTTCAGATATAATACTCAATATAAAGTTTTTAATTGGAGTATATAATGCCATCCTGATGTTCATATACAATGGACAAGTTGTTAACACATGACATAGGTCTTCTGTTTCAGTTCTACAGTTTGGACAAATCGGGTCTACTTCAGCCTGGTTAAATCTGTATCTATGAGCTTGTAATAGATAGTTCCCGTTAACATGCGGCTTTTTGTAATTTCTTTTCTGATGTCAGAGACTGATGAGGAACTGTAGCCCAAACAGGGTGTGTGACACCTATTCCTAAGTTCGAAATTGCTAAATTTTGTAGAGTTGATTTTTCTTCACAATCTAGGCGTAGTTTGTTAGTCCACTGTTCGTTTATTGCTGATTTTGTCAGTCTTTTCCATTCTATTTTTGTATACTTCTTTTCAAATAATTCAAGAAAGAAAGGTAGATTGTACATCTCTAAAATTTCTGCTGTTTTGGTGAAGAAGCTTGTTGATCTTCCGGACATATATTGACGCATAGCTAGTGATCTAATAGTTTCATTGTTTCTATTGAGAACACCAAATAAGAGGCTAAGTTGTCTTTTTTGAATTTCAGCATTAAGCGGTAGAGCTCCCAGAAGTAGGTATACTGATGCACATGCTGTCCTTTTAGGAAGAGACTAGTTTTCTCAAAATATCGAGGTGGAAGCTTGATAGAAGCGCCATTTCTTTAGAGTTCACATGCAGAGTTTCAAGCCCGTATAGTAGCCTTGGTAGAACGTATGCTTGGTAGATCCTGTATGATGATTTAGGATTTAAGCCATTTGAGCCATGTACACCCGTCTTAATGAGAGAGTACAACGTTCTTCTGGCTAAACTGATGCGATCATCTACATTTATTCTGGTTTCATCTTTTGTTGATCTTGTGAGCCCTACTGAGATGAGTTGTACGATCAGAACAATTTAAATCATTGTTCCCCATTTTAAAAGCATCGCTATCTTCAGGATCTTTACGTTTATTTCCAGTCTTTATTATAACATTACTCTTTTGAGGATGGATGTTAAATCGATGGTCTTTTGAGTAATTATCGACAATGTTCAGCATTTCTTGCAATTATTCTCTATTGAGGGATAAAAGTACGATGTCATCTGCACAAGTAGGACATCCCACATAATTGTTGCCTATATGAGAACCTAGATTTCGTTTTTGCAGATCAAGAAGCAGTTCATTTATGTAGGCCTTATATAGGTGAGTAGATAAGACACCTCCTTGACGCACGCCCTGGTGTATATCAAAGCTTGTACTTGTTTCTCCTTTCCATTTTACTGTTGATGTTACGCCGCTATATAGCTCTTCGATAATGTTCCACAAATTCAGATTTAGCCCGTAATGATATAGCCTGTCCATCAGTATAAAGCATATTTTTGCTACGTTTGGAGGACGTGTTTTAAAACAATCAACCGGCATTCCAATGGGAATCAACTGTGCTCCTCTTCTTTCCGATTTGTTCCTTTATTCATATGAGGCTGACTCATACAGGAACTTCTTACGCAGAAAGAAAATAAGTTAGCAGTATCCCGTTTAACTTCACTTTCCGTTATATAGATGACCTTCTGAATCTCTCACTAAATAATTCAAAATTTGGTGACTATGTCGAACTTGAGATCAATGATACATCAGATAAAGATGAGTCTGACTCATATCTTGACTTGCATCTAGAAATTGACTATGAGGGTTCAAACGGTCTGAAAACAAAAACTTTACGACAAAAGAGATGACTAAGGTTCAGCTTCCCAATTGTGAACTTTCCATTTCTATGCGGCAACATTCCAGCAGCGCCTGCATACGGAGTATATATATCTCCCAGTTGATACGATATTCCAGGGCTTGTATTTCCTATCATGATTTCCTTGATAAAGGGTTGCTACTCACACGGAAGCTATTAAACCATGCCCAAGAGGTTCAATTACTGAGTGGTGAAGTTGAAATCATCCCTTCATGAATATTTACTAACGCTATCACGAGTTGGTTGACCGTTATGGAATATCTGTCACAGATGACGACGGGTATGTTCAAATTGTCGTAACTACAATCTCGTCCCCTTTTCCCCGAATGTGACCTACCGCAATAGACTTATCGCCGGGTTTGTACTTACATGAGCAACACGACGGGTGCCACATGTGGAGCAGGATCTGCTTACCCTTTCGGAGCACCTAAGATCATCCCCAGTTTTTGGTGGGGTTCATGTTGCTCAGTCTTTAGTTTTCTATGTTGTGTTTTGTGTACTGTTGTTTGTCTGTTTGTCTTTTTCTTTTTTAACCATGGCGTTGTCAGTTTATTTTTGACTTATGAGTTGAAAAGTAAAATAACAAAAATACCGAATTCCAAGGAAAACTCAAATCGGAAAGTCCCTTAAAAAATAGCAAAATCAAAAGCTGAAACACATCAAACGAATGGAAAACAACTGTTATATTCCTGACTTGGTACAGGCATTTCCTTGTGTAGAAAATGGTGGATTAAACCTGGTTTTATAGCTAGCTAAACCTCTCACTTGTATGACAGTCGCATAAAATTCCATTGTATTGACAACAATATGTGAACAAAACAGACATAATAGGTAAAAATGTCAAAAATAGGGGTACAGCAGGTCAACATTGTGTTATAATCTTAATCACTATAAAAACAAACAAAAATGTCAACAAAGAAAAACAAAATGGCATAAAGACAGAGCACATAAGCAAAAATGAAAGACAAGAATACAAAAAATGACCACAGCACAACAACACATTGGCGGGATGCATAAGTACCGAGCCACGCCAAAAGGATATTACCAAAAATGGACTAAACAGTAAAGGTTACTAATTTACAAAGACAAATAAAAAACAATATAACACGTAATTAAGATGATAAACAACGTCAGTATCTAAAATCTATACTTCAAGACCATCATTATGATGATGTAGTATTTGTGAAGTTGATACGGAATATTTATCAACAAGTTCTTGATATCTTCCGATGAACGTATTTAGAAAAAGGACGAGACGTTCTTTGACATAACCCTGGTTCATCAACTTTCTTCTCAGACACTGGTGACGTTTTATAAAGTCTGGGTAGCAGCTGCAAGCTCTTGAATACCGAATGAGTTGGGAAATGTATATCCCATATGCAGGTGAAGTTGGTATATTTCTACTATGGTGGGGGCGGACAGAGGGTACCGTTCTCCTTTCTCCCGCCCCTTTCTCATTTCTCCCGCCAACTTTCTCCTTTCTCCCACCCCTTTATCTTGTCTCCCGCCATCAAACATGAAAAACTAATGTATAGGAAGCTAATTTAATAGAAACCGATCAAATGTTTTGGTTTTTTTATGGCTCGTCCCCGTCTTGTCCTTTCACAAGATAGAAGTGTTGTTTCTTCTGCTTTAATAACCTCAATAACTTTTTCTCTGACTGTTAAGCTTTGCATTGCATTTGTAAGTCTGTTTTAAATGTCTTCGTCTAAAGTGTAAACAGTAAGAAAAAACAAAGTTGGCGCAATTACTTCCAAAACGGTGTCAATTGGTACATGTATGTCTCTCATTGTGTCTTTATGAAAATTAAGCCCGCTTTCTTCTTTATACAACATAACATTACAAAATGGTGAGGTGTTAAAGACACGAGCTGTGACTTTTCCTAAACACAACTGATCATCCATCATGATCGCCAACAAATCATTTTCTTCATAAACAATGTCTTCCACCTGGTCATCACCCGACGGTCGTTCTTGGTTTGTTGGTCTCGTAGGTAGTACCTCTACAGTTGGGACTTCATGAACATCAGAAACAAGCAACTCGATTGGAGAACATTATGGTGGAATGTTGTTTTGGTACGTGTTCATTGG